CTCTTTCAGGTGTCTTGTAGCCCCCAAAGTAACAAAACTTGTTATATTTTTTTAGGTACAACAAAAGTGGTCATATTAGGTACTCAGAACAAAATCATTTGCAAGAGATGCAAGTAACCATTTTTTAATACTTCCATGAATTGCACTACACATATTTTTATTTGCACTCTTCCCAAACTGAGCCTAAATGATTCATTTGTCTTCTACCATCTGAATGCATTTAAGTTCCTGAGTGGTGTTCAAAACTTCAAATATAATGATACAAGTGACCCAACAGTATGATACACTATGATGTCAATATGAGGCTAACCAGCGAAGTAATAGCATGCAATCATTTAACATTCTAAACCAAAACTAGGATGAAGGTCAGAAAACACCTAACAACAACTCAGATCTGAATAGTTCAGCATATCATCAGCTCCTTTTGTAGGTTTATCCAATTATTCCCCTACATCGCATTTGGTTTCTCATCTCATTTAGTAAAACATTTCTCCAAGTTTCAACACCAAGAAGAAAACTGACATTGTCTACTGAAAATTTACATCATATTTGGTCCTTACCCTAAAGTATATATTATTTGGAGACAAGGCCTAGAAGAAAGTTAAATCAAAGGAACTGGCAAGTTTAACAGCTTTTCATGACTTGGGTAATCAAAATGGAGGTGAGGCAATGGCAAAACAATATTGGGTCTTCCATGCAACATTCATAGAGAATACAATCATCTAAACCTCCATACAACATTACTATTGAGAGCCATTGCTCTGTTATCACTGGGGCAAATAAGTTTAAGTTGATATGAACTGGTTTACAAATGAAATAACATAGCTCAAAAACTTGAAATCAAGTGAACAAAGTTTCCATCCAGTAAATAATTTCAAAGCTTGAAAGCCCTCTAAATTGGCTTTCATGTGTGGGCAACAATGCTGGGAAAATGCCTCTCCAGACAACAACTACTGAAAAGGGGTGTGGAATTACTTTTCTATGATTGTGTTCTATGCAAAAGGAATTGGAGGTGGAGTGCCTATTTATCCACTGCCCTTTCAGTGTAAAAGGTGTGAGGATACTTCTTGAATGGTATTGGCCTTGGCTGGTGTTTTCCCAAAAACCTTCAGCAGACTATCCAGGGTTGGAAGGTGAGGGAGCTTAAAGAAAAAGGAAGAGTAACTTGTAGCATTGTACCACCTGCAATCTGCTAGGTGCACTGGAGTGAGAGAAACAATAGAATATTTGAAAATCAGGGAGTGGACGTAATGGAGGTAACAAGGTGAGAAGTAGCAACCGTGTGTTCTAGGTTGGTTGCCAAGAAAGATCTGAGGAACCTGGGTGCTTCTATTTTTTGTCTAAGAAGTCTCTTTCTTTATTTATGTGTTTAGGAATTAGACTATAATATAGTTACTCACTGACACTGTAATAGGACCTGCTCCACAAAGGACTTCACCTTCAAAAAAAATAAAGAGTTGAGATGGATGTAGCAGAAATGCAAATATTGAGATGGATGAATGGGAAAACTAGGAAGGGTAGGATAAAAAATGAACATTTTTGTCAGAATATTGCAGCCCCCATAGATGAAAAAATGAGGGGAAACAGACTAAGATGGTTTTGTTATGTGCAGAGAAGACCATTTACATCACCATTGAGAAGTGATCTGTGGCAAGTTGAAGGATCTACAAGAGCTATAGGCAGGCCAAAAAGGACGTAAGTTGAAATAGTGACAAATGATTTGAGGACCCATAATTTAACAATGGATATGATACTGAACAGAGTGAAATGGCTGAATGGGATCGATGCAGTCAATTCCATATAGTAGGAATGAGGTTTAATCGAGTTGAGAATTAACTTCAACAAGTCCCATTGCCCAAGGCCATGAAGCTTGAGTTGGAAAGGTGGAATAAAGGCCATGCTCAACGGCTTGGAGGTGTTAAGAAGAAAAAAAGAATGCTAATCCTACTCTTGCAAGTAGAATTAGAGATTGTGCTCTCTTTATTTCTTTTCAACATTTTATGTAAGGTGGTGTAATTACCAAAGCACCCCCATGTGAAAAGCAATGGTAAGAATACATTGATTATCCTACCAAAGGAAGTATGATTAGCATCTCTGACAAGAAAATACCTGGGATCTGTTGTAAAGCTAGACCAAACAATAGTCTTCTCTCTATTAGAAGAGAAGTCAGACACTAGAATCCAAGGAAGAATTCAAGGAGATAGAAGACATGGAGAAGGTGCAACAGTTGGGTTGCTCCATTGCGACCTGGGTGACCAGGGTTCAACTCTTGGAAACAGCTTATCTGTGTCTGCAGGGGTAAGGCTGCGTACATCTGTCCTTTCCCAGACCCCGCATTGGCAGGAGCCTTTTGCACTGGGCTGCCCTTTAGAAGACATGGAGAAGGTGCTTTGAAGGCAAAAAAGAACAAGTTGAAGTGGTTGAACAAAAGGGACAAGAATATAAGATTTTTCTACCAGAATGCTATGGTCCTTTAAAAGGTTTGATTTCATATTTAAGATTGAAGTAATGGGGTTGATGGGAAAGACCATTCTTGGAGGAAATCATCACCTTAGGAGACCTGGACAATGAAACAGCTCTCACATCAGATAAATAGCAAAGTCGTTTTATAAAAAGGGACAGGAAATGATCAATAAAAATTTCATTAAGATCTTAGAGAATTTCATTCTGAAGATCCCTTTGGGAAGAGTGCAGATGCTTCCTTATCATAGCTCACATCCTGAAGAAGCAAAAGATACATTGCCATAAAGGACTTAACACCTATTAGGCCACTGTATAGCACATATATAATCTTTTTCCTAAGAAAAGTAAACTATATAAAACACCATTACCCAATTTCAATCCAAAAGGAAACTATATATAAAGTACAAAATGGTAACTAATATCCTCTCTTATAGTGTAAAGCCGGTGTTAGAGAAGAACATCTCTCCTTTTAAAACTGCTTTTGAGGAAGGGAGGCCTGGAGGCATATCCCAACCAGGGTTATAAATGTAAACAAATGCATCAATTCCAGGATGAAAAGTTAGAAGTGCAGCATATACATGCAAAATGGACATGGAAAAGGCTTGTGACTATTAATAGGAATTTCATCAATCATATGCTTCATATATATGTTGACTTTAAATGGAGAAGCAAGATCTGGCTCTGCATTTCTTGTATATTCTCTAATTTGGTTAGAAGAATTTTAGAAATCAATGAATTTATGTAACTCTTGGATTGCTTGCCCCATAGACAAGGTAGTGTCATGCCTTATTTTGCTTTGCTTAATTAATAGTCAGTATGGAAGTCCAATTATCCTTCACCTGCCACCTTGTGGAGATATGATTAAACTTTCTCCTGAGATGTACCCTTGCTTCAAGGACATAAGAAACCTAAGAACTAATTTTATCAAAAAGTGATGTATTTATAGTAATTAGTAAGGAAAGTCCTCAAAATTGAGACTTCGCAAGAGACTTAGATTGAAAGCTCATGATGCTGCCAGTTCATATTCTGGTTGGCCTTGGGAGCAAATCACAGATTTTTGGCCACCTTGGATTCGGGGTGTTCTTTTTCCAAGCACTATGGATTTAATAAGTGGCCTGCTTGGTGCAGTGTAAAATCTTGGGCTGACAAGCATGAGAATGTGGGTGCAAGTCTGAGAGCAGCAACTTGTGTCACCTAGTTGATTAGAATTAACATAAGCATGCAGTCCAAAAGGAGCAGGGTGGTATAGAGCTGATGCCACTTAAATTAAATAACAAGGTGTTTCATGTAAGTGGATCTGGAGATTCAAGGACAAGGAAGGCAATTTGTGGACAGCAGGAGATGCATGTCCTTGATTTGGGAGGGAAATGTTGCATCCAATTATCCAAATATATCATTCACTGTGCAGATGTCAATGATGGACACCATTGATCATTTCATATCTAGAGGGAGAGATGGAGAAAAAATGTTCATATTCTGAAAGAGTATGGACTCAGTTTTATAACCCTCTTAAGTGAGGAGTGGGTTATCCCAAGGAATGTCAATGGAAGAAATGTGCTATGTAAATCTCTAAGAGTAAAATCTCCACATTGGAGTAATACGCAAAATAGAGAGGTGAATGGTGTGGTGGACAACCACTTTGAAAGACTTCAAAGGATTTAACTCCACTCAATTTGGAAGCTAATGGGGCCCAATTACTTTTAATTGTTTGTATTGGTCCATTTTATTACAGTTATTTTAATCTGTACAAAAATCTGACAAGTTGGACCTCAAAAAAAAGCCATCCTCAACAAAATACTATCAGACATGTCATCTTTAAACACAGTATGTATAGACAACCAACTCCTAATAAACCCTGTAGCCATATTGATGACCTCAGCTTCAGAAGAAGCTTTGTTACAGTTATGGAGGGGTTTTTCTCTCCTGTTTACTTCATCAATTGAATAAAATTCTCAGGTTATTGTTCCTGATAACAATTACCTTTAATTTTTTTTAATGTTTATACATATACATGTATAGTTTGTAAATGCTTTTAACCCATTACCAAATAAAATCCTTGCATACATGGCTTAGGCCTCATTTCATTCTGAATACCATACTTATTTATTAATACAACTACTTAGGTTAAACAAAAAAAGGACCGAGTTTGTAGAGAAAATTGTTGAGAATAAGTGTGGTATCAAGTTTTTAGGTTGGGAAAACATTTCCATAAAGATTTACTTGGTACACATATTAACATACAGACACAAACTTTATGAACATTTTAGAAGCACACTGATTCCAAGATTTGCACAGAGAATTGCCTCACATTTAGCAGGATGACTTCCATGGTAGTTGTGAATAGAACAGGTTTTCCTATCTTTAAGGAAAAACCAGACAAATGGTATTCATAAGCACAGTATGCTGGACTTGAACCTTCCAAGTTCAGAGCAGGATAGAAGAATTAAACAGTTGAAATGTTTCAAAGCAAATCTCAGAAAGAATGCATTCACAGACACAACCATAAGATGCACAGCAGAACAAGTGCATGCCAATAATACTACCAAGCTAGTCCTGTTTTAGACCTTTTCAGAAAATTTTATAAGGTGAACAGAAGGACATGGAAGCTTCTAGTTATGCAAGCCACATAAAAAAAATACTAAGTGAAAAAAAAAAAAAAACTAGTGACTCAATGGTAGTAGTGTTATGGAAGATTACATGGCAGTAGCCTGTTCTGAATCTCCCAAATAAAATCATTCAAGAACAAGGAACAGGGAAATCAGAAAATACAAAAAAAAGGCTAAAAAGCAAATGAAAAATAGGAAATAGAGATGCACCAACTATACTTAACTCCCAGATACAAGAGTTATCTGGAGTAGGGAAAAAAGAAGAAACCTATCGCAATGACTAACGTCACTAACCAAATCTCACTTACACTCAACACCAGCTTCAGCAGCTCGCCGAGGCTTGCTTTTACGCCTGTTTCCATTCTGTCGAAAACCATTTGATTTGATTGAGTTGTCAGTGCTCAATCTGTTTCCAACACCATTCTCCTCCTTGGTTGAGTCAGTCTTCTCTTTTACCTGTGAGTACCTCTTCCTCTTCTTTCCATTCTCTGCTGCAGCTTGACTTTTCACCTCTTTGGATGTGGCAGCCGGTTTTGTATTCTCCCCATCTTCCTCTTCTATCTTTTCAACTTCTTCATCAATTTCATCTTTCAATGGCTTCTGAGGTCTTCCCCTTCTCTTGTATGCAGGAAGCGATTCTTCCCCACCACTTCCAGGATCCTCATGATTGGCAACTACAGTCGATTTCTTTCCCTTTCCTCTTCCTCTACCCATGATCCCAGTGTGCTCAAAATGGAAAAGCTCAAGCAGTTAAAGATAATTTCTGCAGCGGAAAAAAGAAATGGATCGTGAAGCACAATTGAAATAAAAGAACTGCATGAGTTGCAACAAGAAGTAAACTACAGAGATTAGAAGACAAGAAGAAGTCGATATGAAAATTTTCTATCAAAATTAATACTTAAAAAATATGTGTATATCAGAAAATAAATGAGGAAATAAAAGAAAGAAAAAAAAATAATAAAAAGATTAGTCAGGACTGAGAATCTTACTTAAAGAATCATCGTTTGCACTCTGCACACCAACTAGGATGACCTTAAGAAAAACAAACTTAATAAAAGAAAAAAAAAACACAAAAAAAAGAAAGAGAAACGAATAAAAGCTTCATTTTGTAACAAATATATAATAGTAAGATAGCAAATTTACATTATCTTGGCGTGAAATAAGACAAGTTCAGTGTAGAATTGAATAACACGGGCATGGAGCAAAGCGTTCCATGAAAAAGAGGTTTGGATCCCAAAACAAGACTCAGACATGAGAATGAAGGAGAAGTTGGAAGCGGACGAAGAGAAGAAGTCTAAGAATCAAAACTCAAATAATCATCTTTTCAAACAACACAAAACTTTCCAACAGCCCATTCCATTAAATTAAAAGGTTGATTCTGAAGCAGAAAAAGGAAACCACCTTACTGGGGATAATTAATGCAAAGGAAAATTTGTCAAGTTAACTTTCAACACTCAGCAGAGGGAGAAACACATCAGGAAAAATAAAGCAGGAACTGAATTAGCCATCAGACTCAAAACAATAGCTATCGAAATCCAGATTCCAAAACCCATCTAACAGGAAAAGAACATATATAACAAGACTCCCAGTATAATATCATAAAAAGAGAAGCAAATGAATAAGAACTAGAAAATGAAACTAACCTCATATGAAAATACTGTTTGCTGCATCTCCTGCATAAAACCCATTTCTCTGAATCCGTTTTAAGAAAGAGAACAAAAACTTCGACAGACCCAGAGCAGAGAGGTCCGTTCCCAATAATGTTCTTTACAGTGGAAATGGAGAAGCACGGATTATGGGTGGAAAGTGGAAACTACAATTTTGAAGCAAAAAGAGTGCGAACCCAGATCAGAAATCAATACAATAAACAGAAATCTCAGCAAGGAGTTACAAATTGGAAGAAGTTAATCAACCATCATCTGAGCTCTAAGAGGAATCCAGTCACCCAGATGGCAAAGACCGAGAGAAGATAACAGGAGAGAAAAAGAGAGGTGAAGATACATTTGTTGATCTGCTCTGTAAGAAAATAATAATATTGCTAAAATAAATCATCTTCAGTTTCGTATAAAAACAATATAAAATAATTAAAACCCATTCATGACTTTAATTTTTATTGATGACTTTTGGAATTCGATTGACTCTCTTTTCTACCAATTAATTAGCAGTCTAACAATAATTAAAATAACTTTTTCTTAAAAAAAAAAAAAAAAAAAAAACAGCTATAGTGGATGACTTTACCAAAACATCCTTGAAAAATTAGTGATTTTCCACTGACCAATAAAGGAAATATGAGTTTCAGAGCTTAGCTGAGTGTAAACTGTGAACATTATCATTCTGTCAATAGGATTTAAACCCACCTGTTTTTCTTATGGTTATTTTATGCGAAATTAATCAAATAATTTAATTTTAATTGATTTTGTGAGAGATGTAATCCTTATATCCCGGCTGAATAGTGGAAACCGACGGTTTTAATTTAATTTTTCTTTTCAGAATTCAAACCAATTGAAACGAGATAATCCTTCTGTTTCAGGGTTGTCAATGTCAGGCCGGGTTTAACATGATGATGAACCGGGTCTAATTGGGCCGCTAGGGTTCCAGAGCCCCTTGAACGAATCGGAGCTGTATCTAGAGCTGGCCCACTGAGTCATTGTTTTTATATATTCTTTTCTTTGTTCCCTGATATAATTAGCTTTGGCACTAATTATAGCAATGAAAGGATAACCCAGCCACAATACCATACTTGTAAAGAAACATAAATTTTTCCATCAATGGGCCCAGATAAATCTAGATCTTTTTTTTTTTTTTTTGATTTTGGGTTTCTTCATAAATCTGGATCGAGCTAGGAAATTTCCAGCCCCAGGACGGCCTTAGTTAGAAAAGTACTGCTTTTAATGAAGCCAGGACTCAAAAATTGATCCCTCCACACAGACCCCAGTTTAAAAAACTCATCTTCCACACCACACAGACCCCAGTTTAAAAAAACTCAACTTCCGTTATAACACCGTTAATGATAAAAAGACAGATGACCCGGCTATCTTCTCACTTCTGGATTGAGGGATGGTCCAGTTGGTGGTATGTCAACTGATTCTTTTCAGTATAAATGTGGATTCGATTCTTGCATTAATCATCGATTCTGAGGAAAGGATTAGTAGTATCATGTGTATCATCAAATACCCAAAAAAATTGATCAAACTAATTTTGAATCTCCTATATATAAACTGTTCTGGTCACAGAACACTACATGTGTGCATTGAGAATATCTCTTATCATTCATGAAAAATGTTCCAGTACATGGAATGTCATGAGGGTATGGATCTGGGAATAGTTTGTGGATAGAAAAGATCGAGAATTGACCAAATTAATCCATATATGAAACAGCATTCCCCAGAGTCCGAGTGGCCTCCAAACCATTATATGAAACAAGAAAACAAAGAAAAAAACGACTATAAAGCTGGAAGAATTTTGACTAAGAACTCAAAAACGACGAAGGTTGAAATATATGACGGGGAGAAGGAAAGTTAGTAGAATTTAATATCTTTGATATGTTTCCATCTGTTAATGAGAGAAGGGACATAATTGAAGAACTGAGCTCGGATCTCCTACCTACAAACTGTTCTCACATCCATACTCACAGGACATTACCATTGTATATTGGGAACATCTAAAGTGTGATGACAATTAGTTTAGGTTTCATGGCGTTAAGGGGTGTTAAAGCCCGCCATTAATGGCAGATGCCTGACAGAGGAGGTCATTGGAGGTATCAAAAACTGAGAGTTAGTTTAAGAGAATTCTCAATTCTCAAAAGTGAGGGGGAGTTTTAGATAACCTTAAAAAAAAAAAAAGGAAAATCTGGATCAACCACATGACAAGACATAGTTATAGATCAAAACTGAGCTATTGGAGAGCCCAGCCCAAAAATAGATTAACCCCATCAACCAAGTAACAACATGGAGTTAAGATAAGCCATTCAACTAATAAGCTAAATCAATGGTAATGCTGATACTAGAACAACCAATTGGCTGATCCATGAGGGCCCATGGCCCAAAAGTCAATTGGGTATAGCCGCCTAGCCTTTCTTTTCTAAGTGATTTATTTCTTTCAGGTCTCAGAAATGATTCAGTTGGTGAGGTGGTTAAGACTTGTGATCATACAATTGGGACTGATTTTGGTTGTCGGACAAAGCCACAAATGGATAAGCTGGTCTGACTACTGATGACAAACACAGAGCAATTCATAGACATTTTATTGGGTAATGCCAACCATACGGATTAGGTCAAGCCGTACCACTTCTGGACCTTAGTCACTCACTGCTGACATGAAGTGCTTCCTATACAGAAATTGCTTTCAACAGCTCTGGCAGAATCATTCCAAGCTCGTTTTCACTGATGTCCCCTTATCCTTCAAGGTTTTACTGCGTTAAAACTTAAAACCCATACTGAATTTGTGGGTGAACCCTTTGATGTCTGTCTATTTATCCAATCTACATTCTAATTTTTTTTATTCCCTTGTTTAACATTTTTTGGATTCATTTTAATCAATATCAAATCTTCACAAATAACATATTGGCTGATACATATCGTATTTATAGGTTATTAAGTCAAGCCTTTTAGGGTTTTGACCCAATTCAGGGGGTACACCGGCCTTACACCAACCCTTGTTCAGTTTTGAAAAAATAAAAAATAAAAACTAAAAAGGAGAAAAAAAGTGTGCGGTCAAAACCCCCAATATGCCCCTTCCGACAATACACCCTTTTCAGTATATTGGGCGTATCGATATTTTGAACCTTGATTTTAATAATAAATAAATATCATGTCACAAACAATATTCAACATGCACCAAATTGAATGGTATAGCTTATCGAGGGATTTGGTTTTAGTTGGTGACGCTGTTAGTTCAAGGTTAAGCGCCAAAGTTTTTGAATTAAATAATCTCCAACGTGTTGCTAGCTAATCAAAAGGAAACTTCTATACAATCTTCAGAGATCAATTAATGATAACTTACAGTTTCTACCTTCTTTGGAGTTTTAAGTAAAAGTTTAGTTTGACTGTTGCCTGTTGGAGTAGAACTCTCCGTTTTTCTCGATCAGGCCCAGCATTAGAGATGTAGATTTCAAGGACTTCTAACAAATAAGCCCAAGCCCAAGTCATGTTCTTGGAGATGAATTTCAACCCTAAATTTAAAAGGGTCATTGGTCCATCACCCAATGTTGATCTTGGGAAGGATGGACCGGATAATCTTTGATAATTTTCGCACAAAGTGGCCACTTTCAGATTCAAACCCACGTTCTCGTACTTGTCAGACCGAGATTTTTCGGTAATGCCAAGTAATGGCGCCTAGATGAATTTCAATCCTGTTGATGATAAGAACAAATCTTCCAATCTCACATAGAATTATTGGCTTGGAGTTCTTCTATTTACCCAAATTAGCAGTGGGTTTTGTCCAATGGACATGCGACACATGTCCAAATGAAGTCATACCCAGTGTCCATGAATATCATCCAAAGTTGATATTTGGTCTTAGAGAGTAAATATTTTATAAGCAGAGAATCATGTGCAAACAGATTTTCTACAAATTTGTTGGCATCTTTGATCCTGACTGGTCATGAACTCTACAGTTCCATGATATTCCAGCCATTGAAGACTAACATGGACACATGCCATGTATAGGATACATGTAGTGGCCTTTTCTTCTTCCTTGACCATCATCCCCTCTTCAATCAGTCATTTCATTTCCATTTGAATTTTGGATGCTATGGAACTGAACAGATTCCAGGTGTGAACCCAAGCTTTCAGAGGACCCAAGTGAACATCAATGATTTGACATCTCTGTATCAATTAGTATGCTCGTATGGAGCAAGGATTGTTACAACAGATATGGACTTTTGTCATGAAAATGATATTTGCCAAGGCATGTTTTGTTCTTGAGAATAGACATGTTGGATGAAATGAAACATTTCACTTGGTGTGGTGCGGTAAGAGAATACTTCTGAGATTTCAACAAACTGCATTGAATAGTTTGAATCCAAAAGGTCTGTAATCCTTGAAAACTCAACTCAGCCTTGATAGAGAATGTTGTCTTGTCGTGCATTCAAAACAAAGTGTCTATAATCCTCGAAAACTCAATTCAGACTTAATAGAGAATGTTGTCTTCTCATTGAAAAACAAAAGGGTCTCTTTTGGAATAAAGAGACCAGAAAACCCTCATGTTTTCTTAGAATTTGGTTCAACCATCAATCTGGTTATAAAATGAATAGGCTTTGGTTTAATTCAAAAACAATGCATGGTTTAATTCAACCATCAATCCAAATTCTTAGAATTTGGAACAAAGGGTCTCTTTACGGCTACAAGGATGTTTTCATCAATATTGTGCCTCCTCTTCTCTTCTTTATTTCAAAGGGATGCTAGCTGTGTATGGGCAACAAGCCATACATCAACCCACAAAACACAAAACAAAACCACAATTTTAAATCAGGTAAGGTTGTTCTGATTCCCTTTTCTTTTCTGTGGAGAAGAGGGCCTGACAGCCAAACAAAGTACCCCATATTTGGTTTTTGTTGTGTTGTGATGCCCTACACCCACAATGCTTGAGACCTGCTCCCTCCTTTTTCACCCAAATCAGGTATGTTGAAAAACAGCTGCTATCTGTTTTTTCTTTTTTCTTTTTTTTTTTCTTTCAAACAAGCAAGTGGGCCAATATTGCTATACCAGGGAAAAGGAAAAATTTTCACTCTTATGAACATTTCTAGTATATCAATGAACAAATGTTGCAATTTGTGGTTTTTGTGCAATTGAACTATTAAATTAAAGAAAAAAATTGGTCCTCCATGGGCCCAAAATAGTGAGGATAGGTGATGAAATTGGGGAGGCATGATATGATATTCTCCTTGCTTGTGTCCCATAGATTTGGGAACATGGTTTTTCATTTATCAACCACTCATTTCATTCTATTGATGATCAGAGGAATCTGTGGTAGTCTCCCCATGATGCAGCTGTCTCTCTTCTCTTACAAGACAAGTAGAAAGATGAGCCAGCCCAGGCAATGATAATTGCCCTTTATTTATTTATTTTTGCTTATTTTTTACTTAGTCCTATCATGATATTCCAGCTCAAACATGTTATTTTATGTGGAGAAATACTAAGGTATAATTAATATATGCTTTCTCCACCCATGTCTCAGTTGTTGATTTGGAATCTGGATTAGAGGTGGATCCTACAGTACTGAACAGCTTATTGTTTTGTCAAATAAGTTTTTAAGGAGGTTGTGGGATCCTTAATGACTGAAGCTGAAGTTGGATATTTTATTATTTAATTATTTTATCCCTTAAAAACAAAGCAATAAGTCATCCACATATGCATCCATGTCACCTGGTACACTTAAGGATTGTCAGGTTGAAGAGGCTCAACTGAACTGAATGACTTGTTGGTTTGTCTTTTTGTGTGATACTTTGAATGATATATTAGAATAAATTTGAATTTCAAATCTAGGCCTGTTCAGGGGCCGGGCTTTGGGCCCAGCCCATGAACATTTTACACATTTTCGGGCTCGGGCATACTCCACACTTTTAATTTATAAGGGAGTAATTGGATTTAATTTCTTAATAAAAAAATAAATTGATTTGGTTGTTAAACAAACTCATATTTGATGTTTCTTTTTCTACTTTTCAGATATTCTAAAAATATTATAAATTCTCGAGGGGGTTAGGGAGCAAAGAGGAGAGGATAAGAGAGAATAAACTGATGTGGACCAAGACCACTTCATTATATACCAAACAGATGGCAGATTGAGAGTGTTCCCCAATGTGCAGTGTATATGGTTTTGTTCTCTAAATAAAACCCTGCCACGTCAGCAAACAATGTATTATTTTTGCTGGCGTGGCACTTGTTTTTGTTTTTAGAATATACAGATTGGTTCTAGAATTGAAATTATTTTGTTGTTTCTGGTTTTAGCAGAGTGTTTTTTTTTGTTTTTTTAGCTATCATTGGTTCGTCCATATAATTTTCAGCTTTAGTGGACTGGATTTGGTCTATTTTTAAACAGATTTCGAGGGCCCGGCTTGGATATGGCCTGGGCTTCATCTTTCGGCGGGTGGACCTGGCCCATTCTAAGGTTCTGCCTTATTGGCCCATTGCTCTTATGGAACTCAGATCCGACAAAGACCAAAGTACCAGACCCTAAACCCTTACCACTTGGAATTCAAGTTCGAACTTCGAAGTGTTTTCTCCATGCTCCCCGACGACGCAGGACAAATCGCCGGCGAGCAAGCCGGGTAACTCTCTCTCCTCCCTCACTGTTTGGGGGCTTGACGTTATTGCAGTTAAATTCCCAGACGGAAATGATGTATATGCCTATCTGTTAAGTTATTTATTAGCTTCTGTCATGTAAACTCTGAGGATGGACATTTTGTTATCTGTGGTTGTGAATTCAGTGTTGGCCACCACGTCATGTTGGACGAAAGTAAATTCGATTTGCATCTCCAGTTGTGGGCACTTCGAATTCCTCGCGAACTTTGCAAGACAGTCAGTCGCATGCTTAATGGGTATTTCATGTCTTCTGCGTCATTGAAATATGCTACTGCACACTTTTTCTTTTTCAACAAGTTCCAAATGTGAACAATTTGGTTCGGATGCAGATTTCTTTGCTTTGGTAGCTGGAATTAGAAGTAGCATTACGTTGAATTTGCATTTAATGTTTAGATTTATCTTCATCCACCTCGATGTTCTCCTCTAGGAATCAATGTTATAGATAAACTGATATTCTCTTGTCCTCATGGGCTTATCAATGTCTTTTCGGTTGGTAATAATGTCGTTATAAATGAATGCTCTGTTATTATAGTTGCTTATGTAGAGCAATGGTTAAAAAGAAAATCCTTTTACCACTATCAACTCTTTATCTTTTATTTATTTATTTATTTTTGATAAGTAACTCTTTTATCTTTTATTGCGGAAGGGGCTATACCGGGTAAAGGGATAACGGATAAATATATGCAATCATGAACTCAGGCAGCTCATGTTTTGATCCTAGTAAATGTAGTGTCTGAAGTTTTATTACAAAAGATCAAGGGGTTTATGATTGTGCCAATGGAGAGCAGTCCTTTTCTCCCCTCCTATTCATATGTGTAACGAAAGCTCTAAGTCGACTCACCAACAAGGCAGCAGCTGTCCTTGTTTAAGTATTTTTAGCATATATTATACATAGACAAACTATTTTTAGCATAATATGGTTGTATCCGTATAGTGTCTCTTACATGACATATTTGGTTAATTTATCTTGGTTAAATCCTTCACTCCTTATCAATATTGTTATTCCCACATACTTTTTTAAGTATCCTTTTGCTGACTTTTTTAGGAATTATTTGGATGTGTTTTCACCCATCACAAACAAACAAGACATTGTAAATTTATGAGTGCAAAACCAAACCAGGTTTTCATCCTTCTATTTGAACTAATTTGCATTCACTTTTTGCACAATCACCAAATGCACCCTGCGGACTGCCATGTGAATACAATCTGTAGTCTGTTTTTACACAGTCAAAGGTGCATTCCTATTGGAAATTTAACAATAGATCCCACTAATAGCTATGATTTAAAAGGTTTGCCTAGGCACACAGACAAGGCACATTGTAGGCTATGCGCCTCGCCTAGGTCCTAGGCACAGCACTTTCACAAGGTGTGCCCCTGGTGCACGTTGCGATTCAGCCCAGGTGCTAATTTGTGCATAGACTCTGATATGGACTTGTTTGGGCTTGCCTTGGGGGGGGGTTGGTACAAAGGTTGCTTGTAGAATCAGGAATGCATGATGTTTAACAGCACAATAGCTATTTGAAGTAATGCAATTGGGGAAAAAAATAAAGAGATTGAGAGTTTTGCATGCTTGAGTATGTTTTATATGTTATGTTTATGTATTTTAATTTGAGATAATAGGTTTATTTTTAAACATTTATTTTAAAATTTAAGTTTATATTTTTAATTAACACTATGTTTAACATTTTTTTTTTGCATTTTTTGATTTTTTTTTAGTTCTTTTTGCATTTTTGCACCTTGCTTTGAAAAGGTGCCTCACGCCTCGGGCACAAAATGCCCCTTGTGCTATTAAAACACTGTGTCCAATAGGTAACCAGAAGGTCTCAATGTGGAAATAAAAAGCTTAATTCTGCTGGACTTTTAACTTTTCCTTGCTCTTATAGCACATATATTTTGGTAGAGCATTACAAAAACTAGTTTCTAGCCTGCATATTGTCAATTGTAGCTTATGACTTTGTGGGGTATATGACCTGGCTATTTACAGTTGGAATCTTAGTTTCAATCTTTTTACAAAGTTTGGATCTTTACAATATTCTCCACTAGCATGTCTTAAATGTTCTTTCCCTGTGACTTCTACCCATTCACTTAATTATGAAATTTATGGGACTTTTCTTTTGCAGATATTTGCTTGATAAGCCCCGTGTCAAACCCATCACTGAAGATCCATCATGTGAAAAAAACCGTTATATGATATTATCTGAAAAAATTCAAAATCCTGGTAAGAGAGTAGTAAGATATATACATAGAGATATAGAATAATTGGTGCTTGCAGTAAATATATGATTATTGTAGAAGAAAAAAAACCCAGCTATTAATAGTTCATGCTTAAATTTGCTTTTGCTTATTTTCTCAATTGATTACAGTGAGAGGCAATGGTCTGTTGCTGGGCTAAGTTGGTTTTAAACTGGGCTTTGTTAGTTTGGGCAATTTACTGTGTGGTTTTCCCTGATTATGCTTCATTCTGCATTGGTGTTCAACTCGGTAAAAGATCTTTGGGATTGCTTGTTGATATCCATTTTCTGAATGATTTTTCTCTATTAACCTCTCTTGTATGGCCACCGTATCTTTCCCCTTTGCTTATTGGGGGAGAAAAATGAGTCCATCTAGGACTAAAAAGAGCAAAAAAGTGTTCCCATGTTTATATAAGGATGAGAGATTAGTAAACTGGTAGTGGTTCTGCAACTACCTTACAAAGAAAACACATTTGCAGTGAGAGTGTCCAATGATGCCTTCTTTGATTTTTCTCACAAGTGTTAGGGGTTGCTTTATCATAGCTGAGGGCTGAGGTGGTTGAACTGAATGACTTATTGCTTTTTCCTTTTTTTTTGTTTTTGATTGGTAATTTTGAACTTTATTTGATATCGCAAAAGAATGATATATACAAAGGTGCAGGACATATTAGTAAGGCTAGCAGAGATGCCATCTAACCCCTTTTTGCTTGAGAATAAACTCAATTACACTCACCCCTTGCCTTGCAAACGTATCAGATACACCATTTGTTGCTCTGTGCATCCATGATCACATTCAAAATTCTGCCGCAAGTTTTGCTCAACTTGATCATAGACTGGATATGTTTTGATATTCAAACATTTCTGCTCTAGTATTTTGAGCACGTTGTGATATATAGAACCATCTCCTTCAGTCAAACTTGTTTTGGAATGTAGTAGGTTGTGGCAGAGTTGTGGTAAGTCCAATTTTATGCAAAGATTAGAGTTCTTGTCTAAGGGTGTTTGGATGCTTCTAGGTGCTTTGAAGTTTGAACAATGTTCTTTTCATTTTTGTTACTTTACATTTATACTTAGTTTCTCCTACTTAATCTATGAAGAACGGTAAGCTTTTATACTGTGGACTTGTGGCTGATGGCTTCATATTACAGTTTTTGCCCTAAAATATTTATATATAATATGCCTACATGTTTGAGTGCAGTTTGTTGTTCTTCTTGTTATGATTATTCGTTAATGGGGAATTTCTTTATATGAAACAGACTTATCTGACATTCCAGACCAAACACTTGATGGAGTGAAGAAATTATGCAAAATTGAAGTAGTTCCCTATTCATTGACTCTCGGATATTCCTATTGGGGTGCAGGTTGGTTGCCCTTTTCTTTTAAACAATATGAAGTTTCTTTATTTGTAGCCAAATTGTTCAATCAATGTTGAGGGTATTGACAGAATCAAAAGAAAAAAAGAGAATTTCTTTTTTGTTTTGTTTTTTTTTTTTCTTTCTGTTCCTGCAATTGCTCTCCCTCTCCCTCTCTCTCTCTCTCTCTCACACACACACACACACAGAAATAGAATAGGGGCTCCACCCCTTGTTTTTTTCCTCTTTTCCTTTCTCTTAAATTTTATTAGTTTAAAATTATAGCCTTCTTTAGTTACTTATCAAAAAAAATTATAGCCTTCTTTAGTTGTTTACAGCTTTAGATATGCAATTTCCCATTAAATACTTATAATATTATAGTGTTATGTTTGGAATATTTAAATTAAAAATATAAAATTCTATTGTCTTTTAGATATGATGATTTGCCATGCATTGAAAGAAACAATTAATGTTATCAGTAAAGAACAATTAATGTGTGTGTATGTCTTCCAGGTATGCTTTTTGCTTGTTTATTGATTAAAGCGAGAAACTTAAGTAAAGCCAAATAAAATAATAGAATACAGTGTAGTATGCCAAAATCACTGTTTTAAAATGCTAATTTGTGACAAAAGTCTCAAGAATGCCCTTTTTAATAAAGGAATAACCACATAAAACATAGTGGTACACAGATCCAATAATGGGTTTGTAGATGCAATGGAAAAACAAGGGGTAGATAGAGAAAGCTTTTTTTTTTCATTAATAGAAAAAAAAAAGAAACAGGGTACATGAGAAGATTTACAACTGAAAACTCTCCAGAGAGATTACAAGGGCAGGAAGCAATCACTAAACAAAGAATCCCTATGGACCCCAGATTTGGCTAAACCATCAGCCAAAGAGTTAAGTTGTCTAGGGATCTACCTAGTCTTTATAGTCATCTAGGCCATAATGTCTCTTGCCTCATCCAGAAAGTGTACTAGTCTCCAGGGGCCACTGTCCTTCTCCTCTAACCATTTAATGGTGTCTGCAGAGTCTCCTTCAATGGTTAGGAGAGAGCCCCAAACCTTTTGCAACTCAGAGTCCTGTTAAGACAGCCAGAGTCTCAGCTTTTGAGGAGACTGCAATCCCTATTGTGTACTAAAGGCCCAGTAAATATTTCCGTCTTCCTCCTTGATCACACCTCCAATCCCAACCTCCCCTGAATTTCCCATAGCACTTCTATTGAAGCTTAAATTTGTCCCCACTGCCTCAGTTCCTCCCTAACTGGGGGAACCTGAAGAGTGTTTAGAGTCAAGGGAGAGGAGTGTAAAGTTTCCACTAAGTTCCTCTGTAAGTTTGAAGGAGTGAAGCCTTTGAAAACCTCTGTGCTCGTTACCCATGTATTGCACAAAAATGTTTTGTAGGAAATAAGGTCTTCAGTGATTGTTGCCTTGTTTTCAAAAAATTCACTTGTTTCTTTCTTCCCACACCCCCCCATAGTACTGCATGAGTCAGCGTGCTCCAATAGGCTTTCCCTTTCTTGTTTTGGGGTAGATAGAGAAAACTTGTTTTGGGGTTTGCTGGGTACCATGTGATGTTAGAATGAAAAAAGAAAAAGGGATAAAAGTGGGCAGGGTGATTGGCCATAACCAGGCCAGGCCAAGTACAGTTGTACATAATCTATTCTTTTCACGTCATCATCATCCAGGCCTTATCCCAACTATATGGGGTGGGCTACATGAATTCTGTTTCGCCAGTCCGTTCTGATTAAAAAAAATTGTTCATCCATTACCAATAAAAAGACAAAAAACTTGTTTCTTTAGAGGTTAAGATTTCATATTCCTCATGCTTAGCTAAAAAAGGATTCCTTATTCCTTATGAATTAGGACTGGGTCATGAGATTCTACCCCTTCTCTCTCTCTCTCTCTTTCTCTAAATTCTTCTTCCCTGTTAAATCACCGCTAGAAGGGCCAAAATTTTAATATCAATTGTATACCTCCCTTCCATGAAAGGACCATGTCCACCAACAACTTTCAATGTTCAATCTGTCCAGCTCTAATATATTAGTAAACAGAAGCTTTGCATGTCTGTAACCTTTATAATTTCTATTGAGATCTGCAAAAGCTATTTTTTAGTGAATTTCTAATTTTTTGGGTAAGCTATTGAATTTCTATCGAGTTTTGAATCTTTTGATCAGTTTTGAGATTTGATCAAGTTATTGCTTGAGACTAATTTGCAATTTGCTCTATTACGTTGCTTATTAACAATCCTTTAACTCATCGTTTTCTTCTTTTTGGGTTTCTAGACCATGTTTTGAAGCAGATATTGCCCCCTGGAGTGGAGGCTCCTTCATCTTTTGAAACAATAGTTAAGTAGTCTTATTTGTATTATCCCCTAAAATTTGTAATCTGATTTTTCTTATTATTTTATTGGCTGCACTTTTTCTCTTTGACTTTAGCTTGTAGAAGATCTGTTTGTATTATTTCAGCTTCTGGGGCGTTTTTTTTAAGTACTGAACCAACATGTTTTTTGTTCATTCAGGCCATATTGCTCATCTGAATATCACCGGCGAACTGCTCCCTTACAAGGATGTTATTGCAAAAGTTATTTATGATGTATGTCTGATGTTACATAAGACATTAATGTTTCCCTTTGCATCTTAAAGTAGATTTGGTCTATAGACACACAAACATGTACTGCTATTTGAAAATAAAATCACAATGTATAGGACTTTTTCTTTGAGTTAAATTCTTACTTCTTTTGTGTGCAAAGTTTGCATTAAAGTGATCAAATGTTCCTATTATACTTAATTAGTAGGTTAAATAAAAGGAAACTAATACTATTTTTCCTTGAGCCAAAAAAAAAGAAAAAATCTAACAGACTTTTATTAGATTTCAATGGTTGGGAGAAGTAGGAAAACGAATATTTTAAAAGGTGGATATGTGAAGCAAGGTATTGGAACTTCAGGTATTTGAGGAGCAATCCTTAACGCATGGGGTTTATACCCCATGAGATCTTATTTTTAAGGAAAAATAAATTTGAATGAGAAAAGTATATTCATTTTAAATTCTATTTTTTTTGGATAAGCAATAGAGCAAAGATATTTATTTATGGTATAATTACAAGAGCTTGTATCTAGAGCCTACCATCAGTTGCTTAAATTTATCCTTGGTGTTCTTTCTTCTGAGGAAGCCCTTTTTAATTTCCTAATTTATTTCCTGTACTTCTTTTGGCAGAAAAACCAACCAAGAATCAAAACTGTTGTAAATAAAGTTGGAACAATTACCAATGAGTTTCGTGTGCCAAAATTTGAAATTCTGGCAGGAAAAGATGATATGGTTACAGAAGTGAAGCAGTACGGAGCAACATTCAAGCTTGATTATGGCTTAGTGTACTGGAACTCAAGACTGGAACATGAACATATGAGATTGGTTTCTCAGTTCCGGGAAGGAGATATAATTTGTGACATGTTTGCTGGCATTGGCCCTTTTGCGATTCCAGCAGCACAGAAAGGATGTACAGTGTATGCAAATGACTTAAACCCAGATAGTGTTTGCTATTTGAAGATAAACGCAGAGATCAACAAGATTGAGGATCATGTTTGTGTTTACAATATGGATGCAAGAGCGTTCATATCTCAGTTAATGACAGTTCCAGGTTGTGAGGCTGAACCAGAATCCAAGCTTCTCACACTCAGAACTTGTGAAGGATATGGCTTAAAAGCTGACAATGAGGCAGACTCTGAAAATAGACGGCCAACAGGTGCTTTTTGTTTTTGTTGGCAATAGCAGATTACCAGTAGTAAACAAAACCCATTACTTGTCCCATTTTGATCAGTATATATCCACATAAAAAAAAGAAGTACAACTACAAGCCCATTGCTTGAATTTATCCTGGTAGACATCAGCCTACATCTATATCCAAAAAAATAAGAAGTCTAACTACAAGCTCATTGTCTGAATCAATCCTTATAGACATCAGCCCCAATGCAAGTCAGTTCTCTGAACTCCTGTAGAGAAAGTGTGTGTCCATGAGTTGGCTAATCTATTAATCCACCAGAATGAGGAGTTCACTCTATAAGTCAGAGACCTAGTGGTCTGGCCTCCCTAATATAGTGTTGCAAGTTCCATGACCCCTCAAAACCCTCATCCAACCAATCATTATTGGTGAGTCACCCTCAATCTCCACTAAGGTGAATAAAGAGAGAATCATCTATAGTATCTGAAGAAGAGCCAGAATCTCTTCTCTGATAGTCTCCTGAACCAACTGGTCGAGAGTATAGCACATCTCTCTCTCTCTCTCTCTCTCTCATAGTCTCCTGACTCTCAAATGCACCACCTACTCCTGAAGGGCCTGGATTTCCAGGAGGAACAGCTATCCACTTTCAGCATGACTATTCCATGGGGGACCCATACCTCTCTGTAATCAGTCTATGGGTTGATGACCGGGCACATGAGACTAACCTTGTGCACTATCATCAACCAATAGATCACTAAACTACTCCTAAGTATGGAACCAATGAACTGCATGGTAAGTTGGTAACAAGATCAAATCAGTACTTCCAGCTGATTCTTTTTACTGGAGAAGACTAGCATTCCCCTCCTATATATGGTTTATCCTGCAACACCTCAAATGATCTTCCTCATAGAGGAATAGGAGAAGGATGTCTCAGGAGCCGATCTATTGGCTTAACTGAATGACTTATTGCTTTATTATTTAGTATATAAATTTTTAAGGAGGTTATGAGCGAGAGCCTCTGGATCTCATCTAGTGACTGAAGTCAATAGTTAATATGTATATCAGAATATTTGTTTCCTTCACTGAATATTGCTTGCTGACTTGTGTATCTCTTGCAGTTCAGATGCAAGAAGTGCTCTTACATGGCTCAAAAGATGAGGGTATTGAAAGTTCATGTTTGACTATTGACACTGCAAATGTTGCTGGTAAAAGACATGCGGAAATTTGTGAGGAAGGTAACTTAAGCAATAGTTGAATTAATTACATGGTAATGCATCCTGCCACTTATAGTTTTCCAAGGTGCAGCTGACATAACTAGGCTGCATGGCCTAGGCAATAGAAAAAAATGCTGGTAACAAATAACCTAAGATAACAATTAATAGCACAAAATCACATAATATGTATAGCAATGTTTTAAAATGCAGAGGTGTGTCATGAGTTGTTCCACTACCTGGAGGCATGAGGTGTAGTTCAGAACGAAAGAGGCGTAAGCTTCCTGAGCACAAGAAAACCAAATTGGGCTGCATTAAAAAGGTGTTGGAGGGTCTCGGGGCAGATCCCCTGGCCCAAGCTTTCTTTCCCTTTTTTTTTGATAAGTAAAATTTTCTTTCCCTCCCCTTCCTTTTCTCGTCTTTTCACTTTTTCTTCCTTCTTTCTTTCTTTCTTTTTGTATGAAACGTGCATGAGGTGTACGACTCATGCAAAAGGCATTTGAGGCCTACACCTCATGCACCTGAGACGCACACCTCAGAAGCATCAACACCTTTGGCATGCACCTCAGGGCATTTTGGGGGGCGCCTTTCCTGGAGGTGCGCCTCCAGTTGTAAGGCTCCCACACCTTTTAAGATGTGTGTGTGTGTGTGTGTGTGTCTACACACAGACAATAACTTATTTAATGTCCTAATATTTAAATTATTAAGAAATAAGAACTGAATGCTAAATAAAAAAACAGTATCATAACTTTTCTTTTGATCAATGGGGGGAGAAACAGTTATATAAAAAATAAATAAATAAGAGGCAAGATATTAAAAACACAATATCCATATGGAACCTGGGGAGATCAACTATGGATTGAGACTCATACACTCCATGGGCTTCTCATRTTTTTTTTTTTATCAGTATCCATGGGCTTCTCATGTTTTAAGGGCTTGCCTGGCCAGCGAGGTGCATTTGAGGCATTTACCTTGCTTTGAACCCAAGTGCAGTCCTCTTTCAAAAGTTGCGGGCCTGGTGTGCCCTGTGCCGCAGCCCAGATGCAAACCTTTTTTAAATATGCATTTTTGGTTTTTATTTTTGTAGATTTTTATGTGTTTTGCGGTTTTGCCCATTTGTAATGGTTTATCAACTTTTAGATTATCTTCTATTGCTATTTGTACTCTACACTAGTAATGGTCTATTAGCTTTTAGAATAAAAAAAGACCTTTCAAATACCTGAAGCCCTAGTTCTTACAAACAGGTCTCAAATGGTAAAAATTTCACTAAAGAGGCAACAACAGTACAACTAATATCTCATCTGTAATCCAGAAATAGAACTGCGACTAGAAAACCAACTCCTTTATATAAATGGGCCAATCATTTGAGTCAGAGGTGCTGCCCCAAACCACCGCACAGACTTGTTTGGGCTTGCCTCAAGGAGCATTCGTTGATTATCAACTTGGTCCTGTGCATTGACTAGTAGAAGCTGGTAATTGTGTAAGTGCTTGGAGTCTGGAATCACCTAGCTAAGTAGCTATATCCTAGATTACCATAGTTTATGTACCTAAGATACAATGTTGACATGATGTTCTTTGATGTTAGGCATCATACATGATAAGCTAAAGCTATGCAAACATTCTGAATTTGCTGTAAGTTGTGGATATAATTACTTGATTGACAGAGTTGTTTTTATTCCATGTATTTTCCTATGCAGAAAATAGAAGTGTGGATGGTGCTGGTGTTCCTGCAGGCAGTGGGAGAAAGGGCAACATGAAAAAGAGGATGAAAGGCCCTGTGTTTTCCAATATGAAGACTTGGGAGCATGTTGATCATGTGATTATGAATCTACCTGCTTCTGCCTTACAATTTCTTGGTAGGTACATGCCCTCTGTTTGTTGTCCCTCTGGCACATAATTTATTATATGGAATTGGCAGGGGGGGGAATTATTGTCTTACAAGAATTGTATCTTGTGCAATATATCTCACTAATTCTTCCTAAGGAACAGAATCTTACAATAGTTCTCTTCATTTGTCCAAGTACCTAATTTCCATTGATAAGATAGTTATTTCTATCTACAATTGCCACTTGGTGTGTATGGATCTAACTATTTTGCTGTTCAAAATAACAGTTTCAGTAAAGTTATTTTCATGTTACCATGTTGATTTCCTTGTTTTGCTCAAGTTCTAGGAAGCCTATGTGGTTCTATTCTATTTTGTTGCTATTGTGATTTGTTGTTATAATCCTTCTTACAGATGCTTTTAAGGGCCTTATCCAGAGAAGATACTGGAAAGGACCTTTACCTTGGATTCATTGCTATTGCTTCATGAGATCAACTGAAACAGAAGAATCAATACTTTCTGTAAGTTACTTTCTTCAGATGTTTGTACCTCTCTCTCAGCACATGCACAGACATTAAAAGTTTTGCAACAAAATGTCTTGAACTGTTACCAATCACAAACAGTCACACAGACGACATCAAATACATATTCATTAATTTTTAGTATATGACATGTCCAAAATGTAAGGCTTTTCTAGGCATTTGGAAAATTTTTGAGGATGAAATTTCCTCTATTAACAGAGTGTAGTGAGATCAAGCCATAGTCTCTTTAGGGAGTTCTACCATCTTGCGAAGTGGGACATTTCTGGGTTGTTTGGATTTCACCATACGAATTGATTGGCAAATCCATTCTCACCCTATTCCCCTAACACACAGACGCCCACATGTAAGGCTCCCTAGAGGGCCTAGACAGGCTTACCTGCCACATGGAGGAATCTTGTGGGTAATCCAGGCAGTCCTTCAATTTGAGACCTTCTAGATTGGCTTAGTGTTCAATCCTGCAGTCTATCTCAGCTCTATGCCCCACTGTTTATTGAAGTCTGTGCAACTTATATTGATCACCAAGCTTTCGATTTTTTCTTTTTACAACTTCCCATAAAGAAGAGCTTGTCCTAAACATGTAGCAAGGCCATTTAGGGTTTTTGGCCAAAATTGATTCCACGAAAATAGGGCAGGGGGAGAAAAACAATCAATTGTTTTAAACTATGTTACCCAGATATGGCAAGGACATGGTTGGATACAGTACCAGAATGAAATTTGCACTAAAAATTGAAGTATCTAACACAATATGTCACCCTTGACAGTTCTTACAGTCAATATTTCTACACATTTCCTTAAGTTCAAGTGATAACGAAGGAAGCAAGTACTAGGGCTGTCTTTTCTGGCACATGCTTTTCATTCTTCCAAACTTTTGCTAATATTTGTTTATCTTCTGATGGATAGTAGATTATACATAAAAGAAAAAGGTATATATAACAGTGAATACAAACAGAAATAAGGGAAAACAAAAAGATCATTAATTAACACCTGTCTCCTAGAGACAAAACTCTTGAATATCTCTTCACAGAGGGTACACTATAAGAAAACGTACTTGAACAAAAAGCAAAAAAAAAAAGGTGGCTCAAAACTAGGGGTGATCATTCTTAGCCCAGCCTGGCCTGGCCCTCAATATATTATTTATATATATTAAATATATACTTGTGTATGTTTTATATTCTAATTATATTATATTATGTATAATAAATATTATAACATAAAACATATTTTATATATTATGTAATATTTTATAACATGTAGATTATATCATATATTTTACATAAAATATATGCCATATAATATAAAATAGTATATATATATATAAAATTAGTGGCCTTAGGTCCAAAGCGCAGCCCGGGCCCAGGCTATAATCCTTACAATAGCTCCATTTCCCTCATACTACCAAAAACAAGATGTGCCTCCACATGATGACATGCTCCTTACCAAATAAGCAAATTGAACCACACCACCAAAAACCAAGCAACACCCTGCTACCCTACCTAGCAAGCATTTGGGAATAGAACCATTCCCCTTTGGCGGTCTTTCTTCATCTTACAGAGTTTGTGCTTGAGGATTGATTTCAAGTGCTCCTTTTAAAGAAGACATGTTATGGGCATTTGGTATTTTCTGTTTTTCCTTCAATTGGTGCTTTGCATAAAGTGGAAGAGACACCAAAAAGTTGGCTTTCCCATCTTCTCCAGATGAAAAAGGATGACTTTAATTTGGTGATAATTGATTAATCAGGCAATATATTGGATGTCAGTCAATCCTTTTTTGTTCACTAAACCTTTTGCTAGGAAACTTGTTTGCAGCTCACCAGGCAACTAATTGGATCAAACAACCTACACTATGATGGGTTCCATCTATTTGGCAGTGCCTTTGACTTTATTTTCGTCTTCTTGATTTCTACTTATAAAAGAACTCTTCTTTTCTTTCATTTGTTTTTGTTGCTTATTTTAGTTGTCTTTCCAACCCTTATGCAGGAGGCAGAGTCCAACTTAAGTGCCAGGATACAAGACCCTATATTCCACAGGGTTCGGGACGTTGCTCCAAACAAGGTATGAATTTATATGAATCATTTTGCATGCTTGATCTTAAAATCATAAGCATCTTCTGATTGTTCGGTTTGTTGATTTATATTGATGTTTTAGGTGATGTATTGCTTAAGCTTTAGGCTTCCTGATGAGGCCTGTTTCAATGAAGTTGTCACCGATGTTACCCTCCAATCTTCCCAAGGGGAGTTTCAAATCCTATGAGTAGAGTCAATCCTGTTGCTTTATGTATCAACCTCAAGGTTGGAAACTGATTCTTCTTTTTCCCCTAATAAATTGATCCTAGATTAGCTAAGTAAAAGTAGGAAACATACAGATAAAAATGAAAATGCTGAATTCAGGAATATAATTTCATGCAGATCTCTAACAAAATGTGTTTCTTTTTACTTTTCTTCTTGACAGTAATTTGTTTGATGCCAATCTCAATTTCATATGTGCTTTTGACAAAGCTGGCTCCTCAAGTCAGGTTACTTGTAAATGCCTAATATGGCAATGCCAAACCAACATTAATATGTTCTGTCTTTGGTCTGTAACATTGAGCACCCATGGAGCATTGTAATTCTATAGCATCGTAAATGAAGGGAAAAAGGAAGATCAAGAGTAAGGGCAGTGTGAAACTGTTTATGCTTGATTCCCCCAACATAGAGGATCTGCAGAAACCTTGATTCAGTTTAGGGTACAAATTTTAAGAGTTCAAATATTTTAATGTGGGTTCAAGGTTTTCAGAATTCAAACCTTGAGGATCTGCAAGAGTGTTGGGTAGCTAGTCCATGGATTTTCCCCTAGCGTTTCCTCAAATTTCTCCATTATGTTAATGACATCCCACACTTGGTTGGAAGCAAAATACAACTAAACAGATAAAAAAAGCATAGAAATGTAAGATTGGAATGTACACTGAAACGTTGAGATTTGAAACAGAGGTAGAAGGATGTTAAGCCTCATATGTTGGGCTTCAATCTGGGGTTTGAGTTTTGATACTAGCCTTGGAATGTTTAATTTGATGGTTAGTTAAGTCTGGTCGAGATTGGTTGGAGCATTTAATTCCTTCTCCATTCCCTCCTCCCCGCCCTTCCCTCTTCTCTTTTTAACCTCTTCAGTTTTCTAATTGGGGTTCTAGGATTTGGTTGTCTTGGTCAAGTGGACTGAGGGGATTATTTGTCGGAGTTGAAGGCGAGCTTATAAGGTCAATGGTTAATTCTAAAAATTAAGAAATATTCCAAATATGTTCCTGGATTGGAAGCTAATAAGAGTCCATACCATAGTTAATGTTATTTGGAATAACGAACAAGGTTTTATTGCCAGAATCTGATCCCAGACTACTTCAACCAGCGGGAGCATTCACCAATGAGCCTACACTCAACAGACACCCGTGAAGTGTCAAATTTTGGTGTTTGTTTGTTTGTTTTTTATTTATTATTTATTTTGGAATTTTGATTTTGTTATTCATTTGTAAGGGGATCTATCATCCCATTTGTTATATCTAGTTTTACAGCAGACCTTCAACATTAATATCATTAACTACTAATGCTTTGAAATTATTTTTCCTTAAAATAATGGAATTAAATTATAATTTTGTTAAAGATATAAAAAGAAGTGATAGAACAGGGGAGAAAACTTGAATATCGATGTTCATTGGAAAACTGAAATCTGCGCAAGCTAACGGTTAAAATTTTGTAATCCAATTGTTTCAGATTTTCAGTAACAAATGATAGAGTAGAAAAGTAATTAAAATTATGAAGGGCCTTTTTCAATTCTAGCTTTATTCTCATGGATTAACACTAAACACAAAAAAAAAAAAGACAAAACACAAAATTAAAAGTTTCTCCTTTGTCGTTTCTGATATGGTCTTAGACATTTCTAACAAAGTTCCCCTTAAAATCTTAAATCCATAATTTTATCATGTTTCGTTTGTTCCACGATTTCAACTATTAGCATTCATGAATCTCAAAGGGGTCTTAGACATTTCTAAGTAAGGAGGTACACGTACATCGCTGGTTTCCCTTTTATACTTGTGTAAGAGCACATAATACGTGAACTTGCACTTGCGACCGTGAGTGATCATTTCTGCCCTGCCCGGCCCAGAAATTCCAGACTAGGACTAAGCGTCGCATCAGCCCCACAAATTTCAGGGCCTGGGCCTGGGCCTGGGCCCATCATCACCCCATTTGAGTATTGGTATCTGTTGTTCGCAATTCGCAAGTGAAGGTTTAGGTTCGGGCGTTAAATGTCAATACCGCCAAAGTACAGGTACTTCATGTAATTTTACGTTCATTCATGTGATCATCTTTTTTGTCCCTATATGCTACACAAGACCGGGGGCGGGGGTGGGGTGGCGGGTAGCACGTCCCCATAATTCCAAGGAATATCAGTAAAATTGAGACTGTACCCTATAGGGACGAAAAGGCTTGATTGGCCAATCAGTCTGCCGCTTGATTAGCTTTCTGATAGACATGATTGTAAACCAAGTCTTCGTTTGTTCGATTCTTCAAATCCAAACACTCTTCAATGATGTTTCGAAGGTTTCAGGGGGGTTGATGAGTCGTTTCAGACAAGAAATCACGATCAAAGAGTTGCCTTCAATGATGATGGAATGGTTTGGAAGATTCATTGCCAAGTTGTGGGCCTCTCACACGGCCCAAGCTTTCGCCAAGTTGATTGTCATAGAACCTAAGTGGTAAGCCTTGTAATCTACCACCTCACCTATGAAGTTCCTAGCTATGGCTGCGACTGAGAACAATCCATTGTTTAGCTAGGACGTATCGAAGTTAATTTTGATAGTACAAATTTTTGGAGTTTGCCACACAACATATTTGCATGACTTATGAAAATCAATCCCATTGGTCTTCAAATTGGTTTCATAGTATTCTGAAAAGGTTGATAGAGCTCTTTCAATCACCATTTAAATAGGGGTTGGCGCATTATTAAAGGATTTTTGGTTTCTATTTTTCCAGATGTACCATAATAAGAATGCACACTTTTCTCTTTCATTGTTTCCTCCATTTGAAATTTTCTTACCAATTTTAAGCCACCAATCTTCCAATGAAAGATTAAATCCTGAAGGACCCTCCAAAAAGGGATTTATTGCATCCCAAATTTGTTTAACAACTGTACAATTTTTAAAAATATGATCCACATCGTCGTTATCTCCACAAAAACTACATTTTCCATCCACACTTAAATTTCTATTTTGCATAAGCAATTTTGTTGGTAGCTTTAATTAAGAAGGAATAGAGAAAAGTTTTCAATTTTGGTGGACAATTAACCTTCCAAACAGTCAAATTCCACTTTGGATTCAATTCTTCATGAATAAATAAGTTACATTTTAATTTATAAGTAGACTTAATTGAGAATTTTCCATCATATCTAAGTCTTCACACTAATTTATCTTTTTTTTTTATTTGAGGGGATAAAGATAGATTTTATTTCCCCCCCGAATATTCAAAGGAACCAAGCTACAAATTCTATTTTCAATCCATACACTCCTATTCTGATCAATAACCTCACTAAGAAGAAGATTATCATTTTCAATCCTATCAGGAGGAATAATTTGATCCAAGGAGGTATTGTCAACCCATGTATCTTTTCAAAACTTGATAGATTTGCCATTGTTTATTTCCCAACCTAACTCTTTTTTAAGGAGATCTCTCCCCTTAAGGATACTTCTCCAAGCCCATGATATATTTTTCTTTTCCTTCACATTCCAAAAGTCATCATTCTGAAGATACTTTATTTTAATAATTTTAATCCAAAGGTTATCACTGTTAATTAATATTTTCCAGCCCAACTTTGCTAAGTTGGCTTTATTAACCCAATAGAGGTTTTTTAGCCTCAAACCACCCCAACATTTTGGGGTATACACATTGTTCCAACCAATTAAATGAACCGATTTTTTTTTTCACTAGAATTTATCCATAAGAAATTCTTTTGGCTTTTATCAATTTCATCAATGATATTTTGGGAAAGCTTGAAAGAACTCACATAAATTGTGGCATTTAAAAGGGCCATTCTACCTCTCAAAGATAAATTGTTTTTTTTTTTTTTTTTTTTTTTTTTCTAGTGTACCGGTTTGTTATTAACCCTTTTCGTAAAATTCAAGAATGTGCTCTTTCAAACTCTACCGTATGGGGGCTCCCAAATAAATATCAGAGTTATTAACTAACTTCAAAAGGTGTGAAGGCGTTCGTGAGAATCAGAACTGAGTGTAGCTAACTTCGCAAATTAAATGACTCCAGTGAGCCTTTTTTAATAGGTTGACAGAGAGACAGACCAATCTTCTTCTGTTGAAAATTTTCCACCCGTCGAGGCGTCTATAAGCTCTTGTAAAGAACACGCGTCATTCATCTCTCTGTCTCCATTCTTCTTTCAAGGTTCTGAAAGAAGCATTGCAGATTCATAAAAGAGATCAGCGGGAGAAATAAAGATGGATTCCAAAGCTATCCCATTTCATTTTGTTCTGTTCATGGCATTGGTCTTGAATGTGGGAGGAGTTGGAGTGAACTGGGGGACAATGGCCACCCACCACCTCCCCCCTGAAATGGTTGTGGAGATGTTACGTGTAAATGGTTTCGACAAGGTGAAGTTGTTTGAAGCCCACGAAGGGATTCTCCGAGCTTTGATTGGGACTGATATCGAGGTTATGCTTGCTATTCCGAACAACATGTTGCAGGACATGGTTGATCCCGATTTGGCTGCCAATTGGATTGAAGAGAATGTGACCAGCTACCTCAATAATGGCGGAGTAAATATCAAGTCGAGTTCTCGATCCTTTAACCTTTCTAGCTTATTTCATTTCTTTCTTCGGAAAACTTCCATTGCCTGATGCCCATGCCATTTCTTTTTCCAATCTTGATTTTCTTCTCCTTTTTGCTTTTTGCTTTCTAATTTTTCATATTTGAGATGCTTTTCTGATTCAAATGGGTTTTTCAACTTGTTTGAAGAATTTTACTACTATCTTTTTCAATTCCTATCTTCTTTTGGGATTTCTGTTCAGAAAATATTTATTCAAGTGCTTCATATTCTATTTCTATGCCACTTGTGAGAAAAGAAAACCCGCCTGAGTTCTTATTTTGACTGTTCACAGTTCAGTTTCCTAATTTGCTGATCAATTTCAGCAGGTACGTTGCTGTGGGAAATGAACCCTTTCTTCGATCTTACAATGGCACCTTTCTGAAGGTTACACTGCCAGCCCTGCGGAACATCCAGCGAGCCCTGGATGATGCTGGCCTTGGGTCCCGAATCAAAGCAACAGTCCCCTTCAATGCCGATATCTACAATTCGCCGGCCTCAAATCCAGTCCCATCTGCTGGTGACTTCCGCAGGGAGATACGTGACATTGTGCTTGAAGTAGTCGAATTTCTCTACAATAACAATGCGCCCTTCACTGTAAACATTTACCCATTCCTCAGTCTTTACGGGGATCCCTACTTCCCTGTGGATTATGCATTCTTCGACGGCACAAAGAAGCCCATCAAGGATGGAGATGTTGCTTACACCAATGTGTTTGATGCGAACCTCGACACGCTCTTGTGGTCACTGAAGAGAGCTGGCTACCCCAGCATGCAGATAATGGTGGGAGAAGTTGGCTGGCCTACTGATGGTGACAAGCATGCTAACATTAAGAACGCAAAGAGGTTCAATCAGGGTCTCCTGCGACATGTGCTCAGTGGGAAAGGAACCCCAATGAAAAGAGGAAGGATTAATGTTTACTTGTTTAGCCTTCTTGATGAAAATGCCAAGAGTATTGCACCAGGCAACTTCGAGAGGCACTGGGGTATATTCGAGTTTGATGGGAAGCCCAAGTACGAGTTCGATCTGTCTGGCCATGAAGAAAACAAGGGACTCATTGGGGCAGAAAATGTGGAATACTTCCCTATGAGATGGTGTGTAATGAATCCCAACGCTGATGATCTCACAGAATTATCATCCAATTTCCAGTATGCTTGTAGCTTCTCCGATTGCACAGCTCTGGGATATGGGTCTTCATGCAACCACCTGGATGTCCGAGGGAATGCGTCGTATTCCTTTAATATGTTTTATCAATGGAACAACCAGAGGAATTGGGACTGTGATTTCTCTGGTCTAGCAGTGGTGACTGATGTGGATCCATCAGTTGGAGAATGTCGGTTTCCGATCATGATTGCATATGGTTTTTCAGTGTCCCTCCGGAGGGGAGTCATAGGAAATTTATTGATTGTAGTTTGGGAAGCTTTGATGTTGGTATTACTTGTATGAGAGATCAAAGGAAAGGGGATTAAAGAGACAAACTACGGTACACATTAAACATCAATACAAAAATAAGCTTCAATTCTGTCAAATAAATTCAATATTAGTATATCCATTATAAGCTGCACATATAATTATTCCCTCTATTAATAAATTGATTTATTTTCCCTACATCAGCCTAATTAATTTGCTCTGGTGCATATAACCATTCAATATGAGTTGCTTATAGATGGGTGCATCTCATCTTCTCTTGATGTGCTATTTGTAGCCAGCTTTTAGCCTACAGTATTGAGATTGATCTCAAGTGGTTTTTTGAACGGTCTGCACAGCATGGCATGTGCAGTTTGTACCCCTTGGTGAGCTAGCCATCCCAGTTTACTTCAAGATTTCTCTTGCTTTGAGCTTGGATCTGGGCATCTGGCCTCACTTCCGACTCTACTGCCGAGTCGGAAGTATTGAAGGCCTTGACAATGCTGATAATCTAATTTTGAAGGCCTTATGGATCAGATTTAGAAGGTTTTTTTGAATAAAAATAATCATCATCTAGTAAATATTCTAGATTTAATTTGAGCGCCCAAGAGTTTGTAGTGGACTTTGGCTTACCCTGAATAGATTGATTCTGGCTTATTTGGCAAATACCCATCTTGGATTAGTTGTCAAGATTGATCCATCCATCCACAATTAAACCTAACAACTCACCGTTTGGAATGATAGAGCCTACCAGGATATTGGCATGAAATATTACCAGAATCAAGGTAGCTGAAGCAGTGACAGTAAAGGAAAGCTATACTATGGAAAAAACACTACTAATCTATGGCTAGAAGGTGATTCCAAGTCTCCAAGATAGTGATCAACAGTTTGACAGGAAGATACAAGACGCCCATGGAAGACAATGAAAGCTATACATGTTTGTTGAGAAGACAATCGACGCACAGATTTGTTCAGCCAAAACTGGGCACAATGAAGACGGAACACTTGCTGTCTGTGGAAGGGCTACACCCAAATCATGCAGTCATAAATCACAATGAAAAGAAAAATTATAGGCTCACTTTGAACAATTTTTTTTTTGCCATAGATGGAAAAATATAGGAATTAGACAAATAACTTGCAATGTCCTTCCCAAGTTCCAACCCAAGCACCACCAAACCGGATTCCTTGTTCATGTGCGTTACCGTTGATCATCAATTACTATAAACAAATTAACATTTGAAATCGGTGAAGCAATCTTTCTTGGTAACCTTTCTCTGGCCTTCTGTTTCCATTTCGAGATGAATAGCCAACTTGTCCGGTCTAATTAATTATGAACTCTGAGGCTAAGAAAATGGAGACGGAAACCCCCCACTTTTTTATCGAGCATGTACAATGAACCTGCAGAGAGTTTGCATCGTAAAAGAATTAAACATATAAATGGGTCAATATAAGAGCAATACTAGAACAATGAGAAGGGAATGACTCAATCAAGAATGACTGGTCTCTTGAGTCATTTAAATAGAGAACCAGTTACAAGAGGATAATTATGTACAGAAAATAACAATTACAGAGTTAGAGTTTATCTAGGAAATTATCAGAGGATAAGCTACATGATAATGAGATAAGGTGATCGATTATCTAGGATAGCGATCCCAGTTACAAGTCTATCATAATTATTGAGATACTCTAACATCCCCCCTCAAGCTTAGCGGTCTCTTGGAGACGATATGCTTGGTTGTAAGGTCATGAAACCTTGTTGATGGCAGAGGTTTGGTAAGAATGTCTGCAATCTGATCATAGCTGGGATACTTTTTCCCATATAAAGTGAACATCCAATTCGATGTGCTTGGTGCGAGAATGGTGGACAGGATTGGAGGAGAGAAACTTGGCACTCAAATTGTCACACCAGATGACAGGTGGGTGAGGGAGCTTCAATCCAAGCTCCATGAGTAACATCTAGAGCCAAAGAATTTCAGCGGTAGTGGAGGCAAGACTACGGTATTCTGATTCTGTGCTGGAGCGAGAAACCGTGGATTGTTTACGGGAGCTCCACGAAATCAGATTACGACCCAGGTAAACACAAAAACCCCCTTGGGAGTGACGATCAACAGGGCAACTAGCCCAACCAGCATCAGAAAAGGCTTCGAGAACCAATTCTGGAGAAGTACGAAAAGTAATGACATGATCAACTGTGGACTTAAGATAACGGAGGATCCTCTTGACTGCACTCCAATGAACATCAGTGGGTTTTTTCATAAACTGGAAAACTTTGTTAACCGAGAAGTTGATGTTTGGCCGAGTAAGGGTAATATATTGTAGTGCCCCTACCACACTGCGATATTCGGTGGCATCTGGAAGAGGAGAACCATGAGTGACATCAAGTCTGGTAGATGCCGCCATAGGTGTATGAATTGGTTTAGCCTCATGCATCGTGGTCTTGACGAGAAGATCATGAATATATTTACATTGGGATAGGTGCACCCCATCTGAACTGCGATGCAGTTCCAAACCCAGGAAGTAATGAGCTTCCCCAAGATCTCAAAGAGCAAAAGTGGTAGAGAGGTGAGAAATGAGTTGAGTAAGAGCAGAATTAGAAGATCCAGTGATCAATAAGTCATCCACATATACAAGAAGAAATATGACATCTGTGCCAGTCCACCACATGAATAAAGAACTATCGGCTCGGGATTCCAGAAAACCAAGGTGAACCAAATGATCCCTTAATCAAGTAAACCAGGCCTGTGGGGCTGCTTTCAAACCATAAAGGGAACGTTTAAGACGACATACAAAATGTGGCCATGCTAGACCAACGAAACCCATGGGTTGTTTCACAAAAACTTCTTCACTGAGGTAGCCATGAAGGAAGGCATTGCTCACATCAAGTTGTCTAAGATTCCAGCCATAGTGAACTGCGAGAGATATTATTAACCGAATAGTAGTTGGTTTAACAACTGGACTAAAGGTCTCAGCAAAGTCAATACCGGCTCGTTGAGTAAACCCTTGAGCCACCAATCGCGCCTTATATCTTTCAATGGACTCATCTGGACATCTCTTAATCTTATAACCAGTTCTCCTTCTGCTAATTTGGCCAATAAGAAGAGAAACTTCAATCGCAATCAATCATCTTCTTATAAGCCTCGACAATTTAATAATGATGGTGGTTCTAACAATTCCAAGAACGCTACAGTGGTTTGCCAACTCTGTAGGTATCCTGGCCATACAATATCTACTTAATATCTACTTGTCGCCGTTATCTGGAACTCACTACCAATAAGAATACCAAGCAAACTCATACAACCTCATCTTCACGATCTGCTCGTGATGAAAATTGGTACCCTGATTCTGGACCAACCAATCATATGACTTCAGATCTTGGGAATTTCTCTCTTCACAATGAGTATCATGGAACAGATCATATCCTAGTCGGAAATGGTACAGGTCTAGACATATCTCATATTGGCTCTTATGTTTTGAATATTGATTCTGGGTCCATTGTTTTGAATAATATTCTCAGAGTTCTTAATATATCTAAGAACTTGCTCTCTATCAGCCAGTTTTGTAAGGATAACAATGCAACTTTTCTTTTTGGCACTACTGGCTTCTCTGTTAAGGACAAAGCGACCGGGAAAATTCTCCTCCAAGGGCCGCTTAAGGGAGGGCTCTATTAACTGAAGACAAATTGCACAACTAAAGCTCCATCGGCATTCATGGGTGAGGAAGTATCAATTTCTGTATGGCATCAGCGGCTAGGACATCCCAACAAGCGAGTAGTTGCCCACATCTTATCTCCATTTCATCTTCCAGTTTCAAATAAGGACATCTCTTTTTGTCCATCCTATCCACTAGGCAAGAGTCATACCTTGCTGTTTTCTAATAGTACTTTTGTTGCGAAGTATCCATTAGAACTTTTATTTTCTGATGTTTGGGGACCAACCCCTGTCTCTACAAGACATGGTTTTCGCTATTATTTGATTTTTGTTAATGCTTACAGCAAGTATATATGGATTTTTCCTATGATATCTAAAACTCAGGTTGTCTGTTTTTTTACTGTTTTTAAGAAGAGTGGAGGACAAGGAAAAGATCCGTCCACATAGCCATATAAACAATGCCCTCTGAGAGCTGGTGTAGTTTGAGAGTTCCAAAGCAGGAAGTTAGTACGGTCCAGTTTTACTAAAACTACATTCATAAAACTGGAAAGGGAGACCACTATAATGGTTCGAACATCTGTCGATCCAGGTTGCATCTGTCTCTGGACGACATGAGCAGTGGTGCTTGTCTCTGAAGCCATGACGTTTGTCAAATGGCTCTGATACCATATAAGAGCAATACTAGAACAATGAGAAGGGAATGACTCAGTCAAGAATGACTGATCTCTTGAGTCATTTAAATAGAAAACTGGTTACAAGAGGATAACCATATATAGAAGATAACAATTACAGAGTTTGTCTCGTGACATGCAACAAACAGGGAGAAATTATTGTACTCTCTCGGACATAATCGAGATTTTTAAGATGTATTTGAGCTTGTCTCGTGAAAAGCTCAATTAGGCTTATTTTTTATAAAAAGTTTGGCTCGTATTGGAACTTAATCTCAACCGAACTCAAAGGTATGAATTTTCGAGTCGAACAGAATTAGATATCAAGTCTCTAATTTAAATCTAACTTGAACCATCATAGTTTTTTTAACAACCGAGCTCAAATAGCCAGATATCTTGACTCCGCTTGAATCCACCTCTCCTCTATAATTTCCGTGGTTGGCTCAGGTTTCAAGCTTGATATCACAACTCAGAGGAGTATTATAAACCATTAAGATCCCAGCCCGCTGAGGTTGCTACTTTACTACATTTGGAAAGATTCTGCAGCTTATTCTGCAACTGGCAACATAAATTCTCTCATGCTTCTCTCCCGCTGTAGCAGGATTAACATCTCCATCTTCGCCTAACACCAGCGGAAATGACGAGGAGGCAATTCCTCGAGTTCCTTCTGAAGCTTCTTAACTTCTTCTTAATGCTACCGGTCTGGTAATACTGGTCTTTAGATTCTATCGTCTCATAATATGGAAGCAGGCTCCAGCCCATGTCCATCCAAAGAAAGCAAAATCGTATCTTGCTCGTCGACTGTTGCTCGCTGTTCATCAGTGCCACCGCTGGTTCAACAAGCTTCCGTTTGCATGGTATGTAGGTTATATTTAATTTGACGTCAGAGACTGTTTTCCGATTAAGATCTTATCTGGGTTAACGCTCTTTTCATGTATTTCAACTGAAGTTGGAGTCTCGCGCAGCTTTTATTCATCCTAGACGACTTGGGTTTCATGATTTGTGCCCAACGATATGCTCGTTTGCAGGTTTCTTTATACATTCATGGCATCAGGGGGCGTTGTTTGGGAACTGCATCCAGGAACTCTTGCTGTCTGTCTTCCGTATCCTCTTTCATCTTTACTCCTTTCTACCCCAGGCTATCTCATTTTCTCCTTTTGTCCACTTTAATCTCCTTTTTCTTACTTGATTAAGGGATCAATTCCTTAAGTAGCGCCAGTATTGTACATTCATATATGGTTATGCTTATCATTGCTGAAGTGGGACTTCCCTGCTTTTGTATCCTTCCATCATAATTGGGAATAGGTGACGATTTTAGTATGTTGTACTGTCAGTTATATTGGAGGTGAAGACTACTAAAAAAAAGCAATATTGCAGCATCAATTCTGCCTTTTATCATGAAGCTTAATTAGTTGATTGTAACTTTCTTCGCTGTTTCTTCAGGTGATGGCTTTACTGTTCTCTCTGTGCTTGCAATCTGCTAACTGCACGTTGTATGAGGACAGTGACGACGAGGTTATTGTCCATCCCGGTTTCGTACGACCAGTTTCTGTGCATGCAAAAGGTTGATACAGAATCCTTTTTCTGTGTACGACCAGTTTCAACTGTTACCAGCGGAAGGAGTACCTGAATCTCTGATAAATAGGTTGGTAAGCTTGGTGCTAGTTTTTTGGATGCATAATAATACTTCAGAATCCTTTTTCTAGAAAACATATATGATCTTGAAATCATTCATTCCCGCAGGTTTTGTTAGGCCTATACACCAGAATAGACAGCCCCCACATACCCGAATTGAAAGGTTGATCCAGCATAAGAGAGGCTCATCGGGGTTACTATTGCCTTCATAATAGATGATCACTCTCTGACCACAGCGAGATATAAAACTTGGATTAAGATGTTTGTTTCTTACTGATCGTACTTGGTAGGCAGTTGGGGCTGTATATTTGCCTGAATTTGGAAGTAGAGTTTGAGATATGATGTCAGTGTACTGTTAAGAAGCTTGATTTTGGAAAATAATACATATCAGACATAGTTTGATGATATAAAGTTTGCATATAATTTTAAGTTGAGAAAAGAAAACCAATTTCTTAGGCCTCAACTACTGTTTCCCCTACTTTGAACCCAACAAATAGATCCTTCTTCTCAACCCAACTACAACCTGGCTTCTTAAAGATATTCTTCTCCTTCATTACCTTCCTCACATTCTCAACTCCTGTCCACTCTCCATCTGCAGCAAAAATATTTGACAGGGTCACAAAGCCTCCCGGTTTCTCCATCTCTAGAATCTCCTGCACCATTTTTTTAGCCAAGTCATTTCTTCCATGCATTCTACAGCCATTCAAGAAGGCTCCAACAATGGAATCATTGACATCCACCGGCATGTCCTTTATCAACTCATAGGCTTCTTCAAGCTTTCCTGAACGGCACAAAAGATCAACTGTACATGCATAGTGCTCCTTGCTGACCTCAGTCCCGGAAATCTCTTTTATTGACTTGAAAATCTCTAAACCTTTCTTGACCAAACCGCCATGACTGCAAGCAGAAAGAAGACAAGTGAAAGTGACTTGGTTTGCCCAAACGCCTTCTTCCTGCATTCTCCCAAATAGTTGGATTGAGGTATCAACTAAACCATGCTTCCCATAGCACCCAATTATGGCATTCCATGAAGCAACATTTTTTGTTGCAAACTGATCAAACACATTCCAAGCATATTTCACACTCCCACATTTTGAATACATGTCAATAAGGGCAGTACTGACAAAAATATTAATACTAAGCCCCAATCTGATGATCAGACAATGAACTTGTTTCCCCCTATGTAGTGAGCCTATCAACCCAAAAGCAGGGAGCAGGCTAGCAATGGTTACTGAATTGGGTTTAAGTCCAGAGACCAACATGTCCTTGAACAACTCTATAGCTTTGAGATTCTGATGGTTTTGAACATAACCTGTTATCATAGCATTCCAGGTAACCAAATCAGGGACCGATCTTTCTTTCCTCATTTTAGAGAAGAGCTCAAAAGCTCGATCACAATCTCCATTCTGAGCATAACCTGCAATAATAGCATTCCATGTGAAGTCATTAGGTTCCAAGTCTTCTAGCTTCATCTGCTCAAAAAGTATCAACGACTGCTTAAGCTTCCCTCCACGTGAATATCCACAAATCATGGATGTCCATGATGCAATATCTCTTTTCGGCATTCTGTCAAACAGCTGACGAGCAGAGTCTAGCTTCCCACATTTACAGTACATATCTATCAGAGCATTTGCCACTTGAACGTCAGATTCGAAACCCATTCTGTTTATTATGCAGTGGAGTTCCTTCCCCATATTTATATCCATCAGACCTACGCAAGCCTTGAGGACAGAAGATGAAGTGAATTTGTTTGGAAGAATCCCTGCTTCCTGCATATGGGAGAAGTATCTAACTGCATCCTCAGAGTGTCCTTGAAATGCTAGAGCTGAGATCATCCAGTTCCAACCGAAAACAGATGGCCTTCGAATATTTTCAAATATTAGCCTCGCCGATTGCACATCACCACAACCCGCATATACCCCTACGAGCTTTGAGTTCAGAGATCCAGTTGTAATGTCCACTCCTCTGGTTAATAACTGAGCATGGATCTGCTTACCCTGTTGCAGAGATTTCAATTTCATGCATTTCTGCAACAGAGACCCCACTAAATCTGAGGACATGGCATCTTCCGACAAAAACGCCTTCATTAAGATTCTAAGAATCGAGGACCTCAAGTTCATCAATCATGGGCATTTGCATCTAATTGATGTCTTGATTCAACGCGAACTTTCTTGTCAATGGATTCCGGATGAGGGAATTTCAGCAAAGAACGATTAAATGTCAAAACCACATTAAAGTGTCAGATCCGACTTTGCATCACGTTAGAGAGAGAGAGAGAGAGAGAGAGAGAGAGAGAGGGGGGGGGGACGGTACTCTTCAATTAAATTACAAGAAACCCACAACAATGTTTCACTGAATAATACTATTAAATACACTTTCAAAATCAGAACTTATGTTTCCTAGCCCACTAAAAATTCCTCTAGAACATTTGTAATTCTTTACCCTTGTCTTCTGTAACAGACCCCAGCATTTATCTCTCCCCAGATACACAAATCTCAACCATGAAACACTGCAAAAAACAAACCAGGAACAGAAATTAAAGATGATACCCAGAAGAAAGGAAGTTTAAAGCACGGAATGCCAAATGGGAAATAATAATACCTGGGAAAGGGTTGCAGAAGAACAAGGTTCCTCTGTTTTGGGTGTCAGCCAGCTTGACAGTAAGGTTCCTCCCCTGCAACAGCAGAACAAGGCAAAAGCAAATTAAAATTACCTTCAAATCGCTGCAGAGTTAGGTAGAAAGAATTATCAAGTGAGAAGAAACTCATAATGTAGGATGTGCTACAACTTTTCCAAATGGGCACCATAGTAGCAATTCCACCACCTTTGTTATTCTATTCCCCCCACAACAACTCCACAATAGCCTCAGTGTTTTTACAAATTGCACAAAACAGAACTGCTTCTCCATCTCAGTGGCAGGTTAGTGGGGTTCACCCATCTGGGTCAAATAGGTAATTCATGGTGTCATAATTAAATAATAAAAACTTGAAAGTAGATAATATTACAAAAAATACGGAAAATACTGAAACTATGTAAAAAAATTGGGCATATCTCTAATACAATATAAACCAAATTAAGTGTGATAAATAAAAATTATTTTTTAATGATGGAAATTGCTAAAAACTACAAAAAAAAAAATAAAACAGAACAAAGAGAATTAATATGTAAGTATGTAACCCATGACCACTGACTGGGTCAAATGGTTCAATGGTTCAAGTTTCAACTGGTAGGGTCACTGGGTCATTGACTGAGTTAAAGGTTTTTTTGCAAGCTAGCAGTTCAGTGGCAAAGTGGACCCAGAATTCTAGCCGGATGACAGGTCAACAAGCCCAACCAGCCAGTTCAACTGTGGGTTGAAAATACTATATGACTATAAATGAGCAGGCCCAGTTACAAGGAGAAAATTTTTAGGACTAATTTGATGAATACTGGGCCTTCCAAAGAATCACAAGATTATAATAAATTAATTTAGTATATATCAATTCACGATACCATATCCTAAAATAATAAAGGAAACACTAAAACATATAAAGTACAAAGGCAATGCTGAACTGATATTCCAATTACATGTTCATTCTTAGATGTCTTCTTAATTATAGAATTTTGTGATATTCCACTTCATCACAGTAAAGGAAGAAAAACAAACAAGAATACAAACATACCAAAAAGGTAAAGAAGATAAGAAAGAAGTGGTGAAAAACTTTGCCGCATCATATGAACTTAAACAGAATTTTGTCTAAGCGTTTACACATTAATATATTTGTCAGCATAGTCATAATTTAACAAGTGTCAGAATGAACAGTTTTCCAAGTTCATCTTCTGTCCCTCTATAACACGGATAAGTGAAAGTGACCCTATCAAATAAATCTGAACATATAAAGCATGACTTCTAGGCATTACTCTATAAAACAATAAAAAAAAATCATTCCCTTTTTGGTATGTTTGTCTTTTTGTTTGTTTTTCTTCCTTTACTGTGATGAAGTGAAAGTGACCCTGTCAAATAAGTCTGAACATATAAAGCTTGACTTCTAGGCATTATTCTATAAAACAATAAAAAAAAATCTTAATAAAATGAAGAATTTATGCTAATTTTCATTATGCAAGAAAAACTAGCAATTTGGTGCCATCTTGCCTTACCCCAAGGATCTTGTTTGGATCCTCTATGGCCTTCCTTGCAGCCTCCACTGTCTTGTATGTAACAAAACCAAAACCACTGCAAATGAGAAAAATAAAAAGTTAATTGCACTGAAAAAAGGGATGCTACACCAATGCAAAGGGAAAATACTCCTCTTTACAGAATAGAGAAGAGAATGCATGGTTTGTACCATGATTTGTTTGTTTCCTTGTCATAAGCAACAGAGCCTTCTTCTATCTCACCATGCCTGCCAAAGAAATTCAGCAGCATCTCACTAGTAATTTCTGGTGATAGGCCTCCAATAATAGAGCTTCCTCAGGGCTTGGTCAGGGGTTACACAGGAACTGCTTAAGCCCTCACAAGCAAGATTGCAGACAGCTATGCGACCCTGGAAATATCACAAAACTGCATGCACTCAAGATGCATATGGCCATTGCCATGACAAGAACAACAAGGACAATAGGGAGTGGATGTTCATAACTGCCACAAGAGAAGGGGCACTGATCTTTCTATAATGCTAAAATTACCCCAAAATTTTATAACATGAAACATTTTAATGAAATAATGAATAGGTGGTAGGAAACTCCATTCTTAAGGAGGAAGGCAGCAGAGAAAGAGGGGCCAAAATGGAAGCAATACAGAAGATAATGATTCCAAATGCATTATCACAAAATTTTAAACGGTAATCCCAGAGGCTAGCATCACTTTGTCCTTCCTTTCAGGAAATAAAAATACCATATAATATTGTATCATATTATTGCCCATGAATCATAATAATCATCTGTTGGTACTCACCAGAAAATAGTTAAAGTAAAGAAGTTTTTGCTTATTGGGTTATACCATGCAATATCAAGTTAAAGGCAATTTGCTCTTACTGAGTGAAAAAAAAAAAACTGTGTTGATTTAAGATTCAAAGAAGAGTAACCACATTAGACAAGACAATATTGATATTCTGCTTAAATCAATCAATTTGCTAGGTTCTCTCAAAGCACTCTGAGTTGACTCCATATGTTTGTATGTAATGAACCCATATCCTCGTGATTTTCCTGTAGCTTTGTCAATGATCACAGCTCCTTCCTCAATTTCCCAATAATGAGGTTCTGATCAATCCACTCCAACTAAAATAATAAGAAAATATTAATGCTCAATAAATGAAGCAAAATGCTTCTAAAAGTGAGGGATGATTTTGTCCCAAGTCTTATACTCTTATGTACAAGCAACCACTCCACAGACAATCTAAGCACACGATTGGCAATTATTAATGCACTCACAGCACACAGGGTTTCTGAAGTAGTATCACAAGACAAGCCACGAACAAAAGGAAAGAACAACACCAGAAATTATGTGAAAGTAGGTACTTGTAACTGGATTGTTAGCAACAGACCAGAATTTCTACCCAGAATGCCCAGTATTATCCTAGTATCCTAGTAGAGGTATCAAATATCTAAAGCTCAGAGTCTGAAATGATTCATACCCGAAGAAGACCTCATAACTAAAGCAGTGGTTAGAACCCACCTAAAATTCTGACAAACCCAGTCAAACAGAAGTAAATAAGCAAATTGGAAAATAATAATGGGAATCCTAATAATTGACGTTAACCCAGAAATCCTTTAAATCGGCATTGATTGCTTTCAAGATTCTGCTACGTATCCAATATTTAAGAAAAAACAAAACAAAAGAGCCAGAAAGAACTAAAACAATGAGAAAGAAAAAAATTAATTTAAAAGATGTTCTTTTTTTTCTAGTTTCCTTGAAATCATTATGCTAACAAAATATATTTTCCAAAACATAACATGCATACCAACAGTCATGCGATCTTTTAACCCCTGCAGCGGTAGTGGATAACCCCTTGGTTAGGATCAAGGTTCCCAACACTGATACCAAGGCTCTAGATTTGGTGGTGTTACAAATTGTAACTTATGATCAAGCCTCATATGGTTGTACAAGTTAGAACCTTTTTTCTTTTTTTTTGATAAATTAGGATAAACCCATAACCGTTTAGATTGCTTGATTTAAATTGAAAGAAATAGGAGGATCTTTCAAAGTAAAGCTACTGATTTAGATTGCTTGATTTCCTTTGCTTTTGGCAAGCTCATTTCTTGGGTGGCTGCGGCCAAGGGTCTTCAAAACTCAGTCCTCTGCTCTCAGTTGAGATCTAGGGACCTTCTTGAACTATGATGTAATGCAGTTTGATTAGTGTGTTTGTCTCCTTGTCTTTGGGGACCTCTGTTGTAATTTGTTGTTCTATTAATAAAATTTTACCTTACCTTTCTCAAAAAAAAAAAAAAAAAAAAAAACCATAACCATTTAGGATCATACGAAATAACCCGGACCATTGAAACCAAAGTTTTCGAAAAACAATGAAGGTTCTACTTTTCGTAATTCTATAGCGCAGCTTCGTAAAAAGAACAAAAAAAGATATATTAAAGTTCTAAGCAGGCCCTTCTCGTAAATATTTGAAGCAAGGTTAACCCCGAAAGTTCTTAAAACAATAATCTAAAACAACCTCAGAAATCTCGAAGAGGATAAAAAACGAAGCAGAAGTCAAACTGGTGTATCTTTTTATGAATTTAGGAAAATGGGTTCTGGGTTTTCCGTTAGTCTTACAGCTTGACGAGGAGATCGAACAGTTGGTCTTTCCTTAGGGGGTCAAGAAGCCCTTGCAGCTGTTCTGCCGACGGCACAGAAAGAAGCTGCCCGTTGCCCGCCTCGTCGAGCTTCCTCCTCTTCAAATCCTCCATTGTCACCCTTTCCTCTTCTGTCCGTTACTCTTTTTTGAGGTTGAACTAGAGGCCTAGGCGGGCTGGTAATGCCGCGAGGGACATTGGATTGATGGATTCCTCCAAAATCTCAAGTGGGGTTTGGCATGTAACTGCGTCGGGTCATGTTAAACGCGTTTACCGTTTAGCAAACCGATACCGTCAATAATAGATCATTCGGGTCACTTGCAAAAGAAAGCAATCGGTTCTAGCGGGTTATAATCCGATTAACCGCTGGATATGGATGAAATCCAACCTGGTTTCTTCAGCCAAAGATGACCAGATCCAAGGATTTACAATTCTGAAATGATTTACAGTTTTATACCCTAAATTTGATGACCAGATCGGATCATATCAGGTATCCCTGATGCAAACTTGGCTTGCTGGCGACCCTAGTTCTAGTAAGACCAGAACTTGGGTTGGGCCAACCCAATTCTAACCCACCCGAACCAAGATAAGGCCTACCCATCCGAGGGTTCAGTTGCAAGCCAAGAGATGTTATGGAAAAGTGAAGAAATTTGTATGCAAGATTTTCTTTTCTTTTTTTTTTTCTCAGTTTACAAAGTGCATCAAAGAGTGATTCAAGTCTTTTAGCTCAAGACAAGAAGCATAAGATGAAAATTCCTTTCCTTCACAGAGAGTGGAATCAACCCCTCATACTTTGAAGTACTCCATCACACTTTCCATTACCAAAAAGAAATATACATGTAAATTGGCCACCCTGTTTGCTCATAATAAATTTCCAAAATCACCAAGAAACATGAGGTTGTGTTGATTCTGTTGCATTGAGTCAAAGTTGTAATAACCCATGGCTTACATTTAATGGACAAATTAATATCCTGCTTACAAACAAGCTTTCAAAAACTAGTGAACTTATCTTGGATGGGAAGTATTTTGGTTGTCAGTTTTGGATGTAAAGTTGGCATCCTCTGATCCTTCACCTACAGTAGAAACCTGAGCATCTTCATGACTGTTTGATTGGTCATCTGGGAACATGATGTCCAAGTTTTGGGTCTCAAACCAGTTCTTGTTTGCTTTCTGTTGCTGCTCAAACATCTTCTTGAGTTGCCTCCCTTGTTCTTCAATCCGCATTTGTAGATTTCGCTGAATCTGATTCAACAAGGAAAAGGATGAGATAGAAAAAGAATGTCATTATTTTATGATGATATAAATATGTGAAAAAAGAAGGCAAAAGGCAGGGGAGTCATACTTCTAGCTGCTCATGAAGACGCTTCTGGACATCCAGTTGTAACCGCAGTGCCTCCGTTATTTGCATGCCGCTAGTGGATACATGTTGTAAAAGTGATAGTTAAGTACTCAGAAATCAGAATATTATGGCAAGAGTAGGCAACAAATATTGGAAAGAAAATAATTTCTGTTAAAACCCATTGTCCGCAAGCTAATATAACTTAGAAAAGAAAGGAACAAAAATCTTACGTTTTTGCATCAATCTGAGCCATGCTGTTTATACAAGCTCTCTCAGATCTCCCTGCAATTGAAAGTAGAAACAGATATTTCGATCATACGTTATCACTTTCTGAATGCTGTCTAGTCACTAATTACAATAATGTTCATGTGGAGCATGTGAAATTAACAAGTATAAAAACTACAGATCTCTTAAGATCACAGGCATAAAAAAACAAGCATGAGAAAGTGATTCATTTTCTATGTTGTTTAAGAGGGTTAAGTTGGTAAAAGCTGGATTTCCATTTATATTAATTTGGACTAGAAGCAACGTTGGGTAGACTTGATAGGTTCCAACATTAAGGGAAATAAATAAATTGCTGGGCATGTGCACAGAAGACAACCTACTGCACCAGAATGAAGAGCTATTATGCAGGTTAAAGGTTCCAAAAAAGGAGGCTAAAGAGATGTAAATTGAGATGGTTGAAGGTTCCGATTGGCTCAGTTAGTAAGATCACCAAAAGTGCCAGTGTATCTGGCTGGTTGTAGCAGCAGCTTGGGATTGAATCCTGCCTTCACCAGGGTTGGGGCTTATGGGTTTAGGGGACGGGCTACCCCCTGTTGTGTATCCCCACGAAATTTAAAAAAAAAAAAAAAAGTTGAGGTAGTTGGGAAAGACCCAAGCTGAAGATACAACCCTTGATAGAATGGAGTAGAAAAAACAGAATTTATCTAGCTGACCCAAATAGTTTGGATAAGGCTTTGTTGAGCATTGCTGAATAAAATTTTCAAGTGCCCATCCCTCTCCCTTAGATACTTGGGTTATGAAACCAAAAGAAAATAGTAGTAAGCATAACAAAAATCTTAAGTGACAGTGATTGCCATTCTCAGAATGGAATAGTCCAATTGAAACGTGACTGGAGATGGACAACTGGCTTACTGTCATAATTGGTTTCAAGAAAGAAATGGAGCACTAGGATCTTTAGAATAGATTCCTTTTCCTTTAGGTAGCTTCTACTCTCTATGGCATCTATGCCATGAGTGAATTTACTATTGGACTGTAAAAAGTGAATATGATGGTGACATTCATACTCTAAGCATAACAACTGGGAAGGTGTTTGGAAATACAAAAGTAATTCTCTCCATGTGTAATTACCTGCCTGATGTTTAGTAACTAGTAAGAGCACTCATTTCTAATAAACCTATCTGGCATCTTTGATATCTCTCCTCCAATCCAAAAAAATAAATACATAAATAAATTATAAATAACATTAAAATGATACACCATTATCTTAGTACTTGGCAGTAACTCCATCTTTACCAGCTTTCAGTGTGTAATTATGAGAGAAGCAGGGAATAAATAATTATCCCATGACACAACAAGCTCAAAACGGTTCCATAACGCATAACAATCATGGCTGGGTGTGAAACCAGTATTTTATGTTTCCAAAAATTTGAACAATATGGGGGCCAAACTAGGCCATTTAGATGTGATACATACACATACATTTGCATCAGACATCAAATATATAACTGTTTAATAAGACATTAAGAATCCCCAATGGGCGAATGAATACAAGTAGTTATAAGATAATGAGTAATAAATTAGTTCATAAAAAAGAATAAGAGCATAAAAGATCATCTTCCAGATAAGAACTAGACTTTTTGGGACTGGAACATTGATAGAAAAATACATTTTGAACTTTCATGTACAAGGCACAAGTGCTCAAGTGCTCAGAAAGTAAGCAATATGGATCAGTCTGGCTACCTCCTACCAATCCTTTGATGAGTAGGGGTGAGCAAAAAAAACCAAAAAACCGAACCGACCAAAACCAAACCAAAAAATTGGTTAACCGAACCGGCCAGTTTGACATTTTAAAAAACCGAAGGTACCCGTTTGGTTTCGGTTAACCAATATAGAAAACTGGTGGTTAACCAAACCGACTGGTATACATATATTTTATATATATTTATGTATATTATAAATTAATAAATATGCATTATATAAAAATGTATATTTATAATATATAATATATTATTTATACTTAAAAATATAATATTTTATATATATTTATAATATATATTGTAAAAATTAAAAAACCAAAAAATCGACGAACCGAACCAGTCAACTGGTTAGCCGATTGGCTTCAGTTCGGTTTCGGTTACCAGTTTTCCAAAAATCGGTAGTACCAGTTTGGTTACAAAAAAAGGCACCCCTATTGATGAGCCACAACCAGAAGTAGACCAATCAGATCAATGAAACAGCTCCATCAAATGGCCTGATGCTTGAACATAAACTTTGTTTTCTTTTATTTTGCTGAATATTACCTTCTGATTGAACAGAATGTATTGCTGATTAGAATGATTTTGGACTATGGACCACCCACTAGGTCATCCAGTAGAGAGTCCCATAGCATAGATTGATGATCTGTGGGATAGGCATAAAGTCAAGTAAAGTCCACTAAAATGCTTACAGCCATATGAATCTCTGGTTTTCATGAATGTGCTGCTTTCTTCTATGGTATCTTTCTTTAATTTATGTAGTGTCAGGTATCCAGCATGGATCCAAAGAGAGAAAAAAAAGAAGAAGCTTACAACCATATAAATCTCTGGCTTTTATGAATGTTCTGGTTTCATAGATGAAGACCTGATACTTTCTCCAAGAAATAGCTAAACCAAAAGAAAAACCAATACTTTGGCAGAGCTTATTGCTCTATCCCATCTTACTCACCTATAGAGAAAGAAGCCCTAAAAGATTTAAGGACTTTGGCCCATAATTCAAGTCCAAAAGTCAAACATATTATTAGCATTCAGAATGTAGATGAGCCTGAACCCAAGAACTAAAAAATCACAAGCTACTGTTGAACCTAGCAAGCATATTCATAAAAAAATATATAAAAAAGAGAATCTAATTCTAACCTTGTTATTCAAAGTTCACATAAAAAGATTCAACTTACAAATTTCATGCATGCATCTATATGAGTTAATAAAAAAAATAGCAAGTTAGCAACAGAGTCAGATACAACTCAAACCCTTTAATGAAAGTAATGTAAATGATAAGGATTTACCTTCTGAAGATTCTGGCATGTATTTGGCAATTCGATATTTCTGCATACACAAAGGTTTGATTCAGACTTACAAAAACTAGATAACAACTGATATTTATAGAAGATTCAAAGTTATATATTTTGCAATGAAAGACCTGCAAATGGCTTTTCACATGGAAGATGGTTAAACCTTCGGAAGCCATCAACTTAAGGATACCCTTTGGAGTTGCCTCTGCATTCAATGAACAAATACATGTTAATTATTTCCTTCACTCTTGACCTGAAAAGTTATCTCCTATTAATGTATTACTTTCGGCACCACCAAGGCGATTCACAGATTCGACAAATCTCTCATGAAGATCAGGAGTCCATCTAATCCGTGTTTTATTTGAGACTGCAGCTCCAGCTGAAACAATACTACCAGAAGCAACAGAAACAACTGCAGGAGGTATTGGAGACTGCTTCTCTAGCTGAACATTGAAGCTTGTCTGTGCAAGGGGAGAGGTGACTGGTTTATAACCAACCTGGGTAAGAAAACCAAACCCAATCAGAGTTCATCCTTCCTTGAAATAAGGCATTGGTTTTTCTAGTTATCTTAATAACAAAAGACATTTTATATCAATAGCAAACTTATATAAATTATGATTAAGACTAGAGTGAAAAAAAAAATGAAAAAAAAAAAAACTCACTCCAGGATTCTGATTTACTTCAAAAAGAATTGAAGGGTGCCTACTGTTCAAGGTGGCATCCTCACCCACCAACTTATGTCGCAGAAGTGGATGAGGCTCTATTCCCGGAAAATTTCTGTATGAACTTGTATTGGAGATCTCAGAAAATCTGGAATTCTGATTGCTACAGAAGGGAAGTTCCATAACAGATTGCAGAGTATCTCTCGGTTGAAGGTCAAGATCATCACGCCTTTCTGGATCAACAGAGAAAGGTTCCTCAGAAGGTTCACATGATGATACTGCTTGATCATAGTTCTTTAGAAACTCTGAGAACCATGAACGAGCACCCTGATATTGTGGAAAACCCATGTAACGTTCTGTTGCATAGAAGGCAGAAGTTGGTAATCCATAATGGCTTGAAATGGTGCTACTTCCTAAAGCAGAGGGCCTTGGGTTTGGCTGCAGAGAGCCTCCCTCCAGGGCCGGTATCGGAGAGTGGAAACAAGCTCCCATATTCCAAGTCTGCCGAGAACCAAAATCTCCAGAGGAACGATCAAATGATTCAAAAGAATAATCACTTACACACTCATTGTTCAATCCTTGGTACTCAACCTTCCGATTGTTCATTTACAGGCGAACAGAGCAGCCGGTAAATAATGAAAAACTACAAAGGAAAAGCAAAAACAGACCAGTTCGCCAGCGGCCAGAATGGCGTCTTTTTGTTTCCTTTCTTGACTAACATCCAGAACAGCACCAACCTTTATTCTGTTCAACAGTAAATTCCATTTTCCCCTGAGGATAGACACGCACACAACACGCAAATTTTGGTAAACAAAAAGAAAAGAAGAGTGGAAAAGGAAGAAACAGAAAGAGCAAGAAGGAAGGGTACTATTAAATTTAAAGATTTATAGTGAAATTCTCTGATTTCTCTCCCTCTTGTCTCTTTCATTCTTCATATTCCGCAAGACTTCAGACTTAAGATACGAATATAAATGCATAATCCCCAGTGAACCTTTTGATTATTCCTAAGATGGATAGAGATGAACACATGATCTGCTGATAGCCCCACAAGCCAACAAAAAAAGCATTTAAAGAGAACAGAAATTACACCAAATAAAAACAAGAAATGAATTAAACGAATTTATAAACGTTGGATCTCCGCTAACAAATGGAGGTGGGTGTTTCAGTGCAGAACTTAAAATGATTCTGAGAGTCTTTTACCATAAAAAAAGCTAGAGCTTTTCGTTATGGGTATCTCAAAAAATAAATTCAGTGGGAGATACTCGCATAAATTCACAGACCCAAAAAAGCCTTAAATAGTAAAATTATTCGATAGAGGTAATAAATTTTGGGAAGCGGAAAGAAAGAAAAATGCGTTTTGCTTTTGCGTTTGTTGTAAAGAGCACTTGCACAAAAAAATAAACACCTTGGCAGCAGCAAGCTGCAAGTAGCTATTTCACTCTTCCCCAACTCTTTTCGTGATTCGAATCCAATGGTGTAATCGCTACCATGTCAATCAGAAGTCGAACCAAATGAGCGAGGAACAGGTAGAGTTTTCAGCTGTCACCGCTCCCGCCTGATCAAACCCATTTAAAAATACAACGATTAAGATTAAAATTTCCCAAAGCTCAAAAGGTGGATGTTTACTAGAAAAAGAAAGCTGAGATAATTGATTAAAATAAGCACGAACTCGCAAGATTGGATTTTTGTATGATTGTAGTTGACGAGAATCTTTCGATGGGTATTCATTATTTTATCCCAATTAAGAGTTAACAGAAAGAAACATTGAACCAGAAAGGAGCTCATATCGTCTGTATTCGGGATGCATGAAACTTTCTGCATCTTGGATGATATCATCACCATCTTATTGAGTTCAAACCCAGCCGTCCTATCAAATCTTGAACAAATTAGATTACACATGTGTCTCGAAAAAAGAGTGAATCGAATTTTTAAATCTAACTCTTGTTAGAAATTGATCTGACAAAATCCTAGATGATCAAATTTAGAACTAGCACTTCTATCAAAACTTTGCAATCAAGCCCATATAACCAAAGTTGGATCGGGAGTATGGCCAAGTAACCAGATGGGACTCCCAACTCCACACCGAATATGGAAATTTGAATCATTTTGATTTTGTAAGTAATGTTTGGATGTGAAAGAAGAATTTGCCACTTCAACTTATTGTCCATTGCCAAGTTATTCATGCTTTATCCAAAAATGTGGTAACACTAGATGATGCAATTCAAAACTTTAAGTGAGAGTTCATCCTTGAACCGAGATTGATTTTAAAGTTTGCATTGAGTTTTATTCTTAGTAGAATCTTAAGTTAATAGAATCAGTTCAAGGGCCACTGGTAACTCTTGAAACAATTTGAAACTTAGATTTGTAAAGGAAAAGCCTATATTCCAAAGCAAACCTGATGACTCCTTTGGAGTTGGTAGTTGGTAATTTAAGATAATATATAAACAGTAAGGATAGAATTATTTAATTAATTTAAGAAATTTATGTTTTAAATTTTAACAAAATTTAAAATCTTTGGAGTCCACACGCCGTTAAGTCTGAACTCCATTAGTGACGTGGTATTCTCCCATTCGTGTTCTCTAGACGATGTAAGCTCACCAGAAAGAAGATAAAAATTAATTAAAAGAGTTCTGCGTCTGTCGTCTGCATCTGGCCATCTTCTTATGATCCATAAGAGAACTTTGTCTATGCCCTATTCACAATACATTATCCCCTATGAATTGAAAATATCTACCCTACGGAAGATGGGATATTCTCCATATATGGCTGAAATAAATGTGGACAGAATTTTCGTGCACAGGAAATCCGGACTCGATCAAATACATCCTCCGTGTATCGCAGCTTTGAAATTCGGTAACCTCCAGTCCAAACTACAACTTTACGAGCTCTGAACTGAACTGTTGAGCAGACCTGTTATTTTGGCATGTTGCAATCGTTATTCTGGATATCGCTCGAATCCGATGCGTTAGAGACTGGAGCATGGATAATTGGAAAAAGGTATCATTGATGACAGAACAGACAATAAAAAAACGGAAAAGTGAATCTGAATGCAGTTAATTCATTTACACTCCTGTATTTTTTCATTAATAGAAATAAAATTGCCCACAATAAATGAGTATTGTCAACCTGACCAACTACCGTTGGCTCAGCCAATATCCTATTATCCAACAATTTAGCAACCGAGTGGTGGTTCAGTTGGTACTTGGTAGGTTAACTGAGTAGTAGTCCCAACGGAGTTTACATCTGCGCCCTACAACGTTCCACGGTACACTTTTGTTGTGTATTGAAAACATCTCCCAATGATAATGTTTTCATTGGGAGATGTTCCCGCAGGGATGTGATGTAGGACGCTGTGGGGCGCCCAATCTTCGGGTGCAGATCTCAACTCGTCCCAAAGGATATGAGGAATCAGATGAAGAGAGAGAATAAACTAATAATCCATGGCCCGTTTCAATCTTTTGTGGGTAGAGATACCGCGCTGTTGTTGTTGATTGTGCTATCGGAAGAAGTCATAGTATGGGAGTTAAAAAATACTACAAGGACGGATTTCAACAGAAAGCTAATAAAAGAAAGTTTTTATCTTAGGGTCATAGTACAAGTGTCTTTGTAGCAAAACAAAGGGGTCTTTATAATTTATCTTTTATTTAATATTAAAAAATGTATAAATTTTTATAAAATTTGTATATTTTTATATTCTTATTATTTAACTTATGATGCCACAAATAGATATATTTCACATCACTAACCGGCCACCCCAAATAGAAAAGCTGTTTCTATTTTTGGGATGCATGGTTTCAACATTAAAAGAGATTAATACTTTAATTGTAGCTCTCAACATCATCGATGTGAGCATGATGAACAAAATACCTCTTCGATCTTCCACTTCGTTATTGACTGAAAATTTTAAAATGACAATAATTGCATTTTAACCGGTAAAGATTGAAGAGTATGTCTAGCTATGGCTTCCTTTGTTCCTCCCTCTCTCACTTTATTATTTAAAACCTATGTCTATGTTTTCCCTTTTTTTGATACATTTTTTTTTTTGGCTACTGATGACCCTTTCGGGGTTTGAAAGGGCAAATCTAGCGTTCTATCAAATAATTCAAAACAAATAAATAAATAAATAAAAATAGATCCACTTATATTCTCCATCTAGGATGGTTCAAAGACCTTTTGCCATTGGATCTAGTGTCAACTTTAGGCGATTAAAGTTGTGTAGAAGCAAGGGGGCAAGATTGAGAGCGATCAACAAATTTTCTTCTTCTTTGTCGATATGCGGTCTTTAAGGGCATCATTTTTTTTTTCAGTAGAAAAAAAAAGTTCTTAACAAGTTATGTGAAATTCCTTGATCCAAACAATTTTGATTGAATGGAAGTATAAATAATCCATGAAGTGATATGCAGTCGGCTTGCTTGCATGAGAACACCGTCGCCGCCATTGTCATTCTCAACCAAAACCAATTGGTGATCATGACAAAGATGTATAACAGAGATTATTCCTCCTCAATATATATATGTGCCTTTCCCCTCTCAGGGGAAGAATAATTCCCAAAAGGGGTATAAAGTAGCAACACATTTTTGTTCTTGTTGAAAGCGGAAGCGCATTATAGACATTCCTCTGATGCGTTGTTTATCCAGTTTAGGGGGGGTAAGTAAGAGAGAGACAAATTGAGAGACTGTTGTCTTACCAATTTGCAAGCTTTTGTATTGGGAATTGCACCATCACAAAACCAATCTTTGATAAAATTCTTGCTGGACCTTCCGCTTTGTTGCATTAATGCTTAACTTTTGACCCACACAATATAATCAGAWTCTTCTTTTATAACATGTGCATACCAAGCAGAAGTGCAGAACCATGTATCAGGTTCTCAAATTCTCTTATTTTTCTTCTTTTGTATTCATTTTTTTAAAAGAAAATGCATTTATTTTCCCCAAGGTTTTCTGTCAGGTGGAGGTTTACATGCCATCACAGCATCTTATATATGTATAGCAGATTTGTCCATGTCAGCCCACTTCCCACTATTTTGAACATTACTTGGTTCTTGATTTTCTTTTTCTTTGGCAAATAAAGAAAATTGTCAAGTACATCACCCTTCACTTCTTCCCTTTTTTTTTTTACTATTTTACTAGCGGAAACCGATGCAATGCACAAACTTTGTTAAATGAAATTGACAGTAAGATGAGCCCTATGAAATTGGAAAAGAATAAGCCCTATGATATTCCAAAGCATCTCTTTCCTCAGTCCTTCCTTCTCTATTTCATTTGTCTGTAGGTATTTTACTTTGATTTTGATTTGTTCGTTTCCATATCACATGGTGGGATGACACTGGATAGATAATCAACCATTGGGTTGCCAAATTGAAGAAGCTCCAAAAACCATCCTGGAGAATGTTGTTGGTGTAGTCTTGTACTTGCTATGTCTGTATATGCAAATAAACAGAACAAGCACATGCTTCGAATTTGTTAGTAAACCTTTTTTCTTTTCTATTCTTTTTTTTTTCTCTACTTTTTTTCTTGTTTTTTTATTCCATATTAGAAAGAATTAATATATGTTTAATCTCTTTTGTATTTAATCTGTTTGTAGGTGCATTGCACATCACTTTTAGTTCTCCCCTTATTTTCACTTTTTTAGTCCTTTATTGATGTCTTTATTTTACTTTTTCAGCTTTTCTTTTGTTTTTATTTTTAGTTGATATTGTTTTTATCCCTCTAACTCAAAATGTAAAATTTATAGATTGATTAATGACGTTTTACTTTTTCTATTTAACTTTTTTCCTTGACTTTTTACTTTTTACTTGTATTTGCCTGCATTAAATCAATTCTTGTGTAACTTACTCATTTTTTAAATTCAAAGCACTCTCATTTATCCTGTATCAACTCAGCTTCCTATATTAACTCTTTATTTACTCCCCTAATTACACAATATTTAACTCCTTACATTACATTTACTTGCACTAATCACTCATGTTTATCATGCAAATCATGCAATTGCTAAGAGCCTAAGACCTGCACCTTGGTCATAGACTCATAGGTCACCCACACAAAAAGAGAAGGATTCCTACCATAACTAGTTAAAAAGGACATGTGATTTTAAGTTCTAATTTTGCAATTTATTTTTAGGGTAAATCCCTTAAACCTCCCCGGGGATTTCTGAAAAGGCCTTAATTAAGCCTTCCCTCAACTTTGACAGTTTGACCTGCCCTTAAACCTCTCATGACTTTTGGAGATAAGGGATTTATAGACCTCTTTTGTTACTTTTAAATGGATAGACACATTAAATGCCTATTATGCCCATATTGATTCCTCCTATCAAGTTAGTAGATTTCTCCTAATTTCAAGTTTACCCTTAAACTGTTAATACGAGTAAATATGTTTAATGTTTCATTTTTATGGCATAAACAAACCCATTTTTGAGTGGAGAGAGGTTTAAGGTTTTTTTTTTCTCTCTTTTTGTTAAATATTTAATGGTATTTTTTTGGATAAAAGTTTAATACATTTTAGTCATAAAAATTTGATAATTTTACATGAGGGAAAAATTAGCATTATAATATATTTAAATCCATGACATTAATAGTTGCTGTTAGATTTCTAACATTAAAGTAACAGAAGGGTGTATAAGTCCCTTTATTCCCAAAAGTCCAAAAGTCAGGGGAAGTTTACGGGCAAGTTAAAGTTGAGGGGAGGTTTAAGGGCAAGTTCAAGAAAATAACCTAGTAGAGATTAAAGGGGTTTATCCTTATTCTTATCAACTTTTCTTGTTGATGCTATATCAACCTAAAAATTAAAAAAAAAGGAAAATAACCGATTGACCGTTGATTAATAATTTTCAAACATTAATGGGATTTATACTATTTTCCTAAAGTACATGTATTTTAATTCTTTATTTTTTCTCTATGGGGCTACACAACAGCACTTTGGATATCCTACCCACAAACTGTTCCTACACCCCACCCAATTGCCGCTTCTCCATATCTTCTGATCAAATCAATGTTTAAAAAACCGATCTTGAATCGGAACCGTTTTGGCCACCAATTTTTGGGCTGACTGTTTTATCTTCAGATTTGCAAGATTAGTTTGTTCTGACAAAAAAGTAAAAAAATAAAAAAAAATAATTAAAACAAAAAATGGCAAAAAACCATTGAACAGGTTAAATAAGTCGATGTTTGACCACCTGAGTCAACGGATTATTAACCAATTTAACTTTCTTTGGCCAAGGACCAAATTTGAGATAAAACGAAACCGATAAATTGGATAATTCCCAGGCCAAACAATCCGACCATCCGGACCAACAGCAGTTTAAAAACATTGGATCAAATCATTAAAGGCAACAACCTCAAATCTACAACAACTTCACTACCAAAACTTAAATCAATATGCAAAACAAGGAAAAATCGCTATTCTGCAATTCATAGGGTCTGCAACAAGCCCACAACACATGAACGACGACACAAAGGTTATAAGGGAGAGGAGAGAGGAGCTGATGCCTCTTTTCTCAAGATTGTCATTTAACTGCCAAAGAATAAAATTACAGCAACACTTCCATAGGTTCTAAGTGGAATCCCAACGTGGCTCACAGAGAAGAATGAAGGGTCATAGATGTCTTGATTTCCATCACTAGGAATGTATTTTTATATGAATTATTGGGGAAAATCTAATAAAAAAGTCTTGAAATAATAACATACAATCCTTAGTATGATTTGCAATGTAATCTATCAAAATTCTCTTAAGCAAAAATTATAGTCCTAATATAAAAAAGTTTACTGATTTATACTTTCTACTTAGGGAAGTCTCAACTTCCACTCAAGGAAGGTGCCACCGCCACCCTTCAAGTTTCTATCACTAGGAATGTATCTTTCTATGAATTGGGAAAAAAAATCATAAAAAGGTTTTGGAATAATAATAATACAACCCTTAGTATGATTTTCAATGTAATCTATCAATGCTCTTTAGCAAAAGTTAAAAAAAAAAAAATCCCATTCCACCCATTTATACCTTTCCCACCCAAGGAGGGTCTTATCGCCACCCTTCAAATTTCTATAATTGAAGTACATTTAATAAATAAAAGCAACTCAGAAGTGGAGAAATATAGATATTTTAGAGATTTAGAAAAGGAAAAAGTTTGAACAGAGAGTTTGACAAGTAAAAGGGAGTCTATAACCTTGTCTCTACTCTATTTCTCGATAAAACCCCTTGTAATGTTTCTATGAAACACTTTTAGAGGGTGTTCTTTGATGTTTTTTTGCTGGATTTGAGAATACATTTTGGTCATTTAAGTAAAAACACGGAAACAGGGATGCAACTTGGGCAGGCCCAGCCTGAGCCCGAATCGACTTGTCTACACGGAAAATATGTTTTTGGTTGTATGCATTTTTTTGGTTTCTAAAACTGAAATAAAAAACGCGTTCTTGAATTTCTAGTTTGAAAAAAATATTTTTGTTGGAAAAATCTTTGATATTAAAACTTAAGTTCAATAAAAAATATTATTTTATGTATATATGTAATATAATTATACATATGCATTATATAAAATTTATAATTAATACATTTAATATTCATATTTATACACATTTGTTATACATAAATAAGTTAAGAATAATTAATTTTTCAAAACTTTTTTTTATCATTTTAAACACAAAAAAGCAATTGTAGACTAAATCCCTATCCAATCCGAAACCCGAACTATCGTATTCGAATCGGATCTTAATCGTGGATGAATTGAAGATACAGCTGAATCCGATCCAGCCGTAGGCGTAAACCACATTTAACGGTTGACAAAACGAGCACATGGACCTAAGGACGAGTCCGGCTTCAGTTCAGGTAGCTTTAGTGAAGGCACCGCTCGCTCGATCTTAATAGTGAAGCCACGCGTCCTCCGATCGTGTAAACGTTTGAAGCATGCGCGAGGTTGTTTGAAACGTTTGACGCCGTTAGCTTTTAAAACCCACTTTTTCTGAATCCCCTCCTCTCGCTCGAGTGTCGCAGGTACTCTTCTCCTTCTCCTGTACTTAAGTGAACAAAAAAATGATCAACAGAAAAATAAAGAGAAACAAGTTAAGAATAAGAAAAAGACTTACCGGAAAATCGGGCCACTATATTTCTTAGGAACAACCAGAAATTGAGAAGACCGGAGCTTTGGACGCATAGAAACAGAGTGAATTACCAATGCATTTGGATAAAGCCCACACAAGAAATGAATGGAATCCTCAGGGTCGGGCTTCGATACATAAACATGAAGGAATAACCGATTAATGCCGTCCTCATCTTCATCTCCACCACCAGGAATAATGTTGGCTAATCGCATAACTGATGTACTTATCTCTTCATCACCATAAGTTCGCCGGAGCACGGGACCGTTTGAATCGAGTGCGCCTTTCAGGATTGTGAAAGGAGCCGGTGGGTTCACCTTCTGTGTAACACAAAACGTGGACAGATTTAGCAGAAGTGCTAAAACCCTAGACAAAATTAGGGGAGATAAATAGAAACTCAACACAAATTTAGCTCGACTATTTCCGATAAATACAGAGAAGGGAGAGTTTGTTTCGTGGAGTTACTGGTGGTGGAGTCATTTTAGAGACTTCGAGGTAGTGCTCTTTCAGCGAGCGGAGCACGATAGAGTCGACGGCGGAGGAAATGGAGGAGAAGCGACGATTTGATATCATACGCCATTGGTCCACGGTGCCACTGGCGCCGGCGAAGAGCTTCCTCAACATCCTCTTTCGTTATTCTTCCCGCTAGGTTGATGGTTCTTCGCGCCCTGTATGTATCTGGAGTTTATTTGTGACCGTGTTTTTGAAATAGAAGTATAGAACCCGGCGAATAGAGCCGACTCGGATTTTGTGACCGTGTTTTCTCTTGCCGCTCGAAGAGCCTCTTGAGACGCGATTTCACGACAGGCTTAACCGCGATTTCACGACAGGCTTAACCGCGATTTCACAACAGACTCTTCAAGCAAACGGCCATCTAATGGCTGGATCTTGAAAGGAGGCATGTTCTTTAACGAGACTAAAACTAGAAAAATCTATTCTCTTGATCTCTTCTACCTTCAACTGTTGCTCTCCATTTTCGGGAGCGGTTAAAACAAGGTTCGTGAAAGACGTGACGCGAGGAACGGAGATACGGACATTCAGGCAATGTATAGAAGGATCAATCGCCGGAGTTCTCATTTCTCCGGCGACGAACAGAGATTTCAGACAGTGGAATTTCAGTTAGCGTGGGTTTTGAAAGCTTTAACGGCGTCAAACGTTTCAAACAACCTCCCCGCATGCTTCAAACGTTTACACGATTGGGTTTTGGCGCGTCCTCCTATCGCGCGAACGTTGCCCTGACAGAAGTAGCCTGGACCGATGTGTTTGATAAGAATTTCCTGAGAATATCAGATGGATTAGAATCTAGAAGCGACACCTTACATGAGGTTGATCTCCGTGTAAATGTGTAATAAAATAGAAATAGAAAGAAAGTAGAAACCATCTTCAGAAGCCTCTGTCAGGTAGCGGGCTTTCCGCTTTTCCGGTTCTCTCGTCTCAACGCTTATAACCATTGAAATCGATGACCTAATTTCCTCTGAAACAATTCGTCAACTGCATAATCCACGTCGTAACTCGTAAGCCTTTCTATTCTTTTCAAATCTCATCCGAGAATTGTCCCTTGATTAATAATTCCCTGTAATTCTAATGGAATGGTTTCGGTTTTGTGATTCCTAGGGTTTTTTCTCTCTTCTGTATTACGATTACGAGGTTGATTGAGAATCCATCAAGAGAACCGGAGTTCGAAGCATAATTCTGCAAAATAACCGAGGAACGATTCACGTTTCCGCTGCTTTAGTCATCTTGGGTTTCGTTCGGAGCATAATTCGTATTTGAGGTTGTCATCGTCTGTGTCTAGGGTTCGTCTTAGGGTTTGTTGTTATTTTAGAGATAAAAAGCAAGTGCAGATAGCGTTGTAATCCTCTCTTGATCAATTTATAGTGGAATTATCTGCGGTTCTTATTTATTCTTTTCGTTATGAGTTTGTTGTAGCGGGAGCAAATGGAATGAATTATTTCAGATGATCTGAACTATCGGAACTCAAGAATACTGTACAATTAACTATTATTTCATTTTCTTCTTTGTGATTTTCTTCTTTTTCTTTCCCTTCTTAATAATCTTCTTTATAGAAATTAGAAACTCCTCTTTGATATTGGAGAATTGTAAGGCACCGCCTTTAATTGAGGACGTAATAAGAACATATTTGATAAACCAAATTAAAAAAAAAAACCCGAAAAGAAAAGAAATAAAAGCTTAATGGGGAGTCCTGGATCGAATGTCCGGAATAACGGACGGCATCTCGGTGTCACGGAACCGATATCTTTGGGGGGTCCGACTGAGTTCGATGTGATCAAGACTCGTGAACTTGAAAAGGTTGGTAAATGGTGATAACCATACACTTCCTTTTATTCACACTCTACTTGATTGGTAGTCTTAGCTGGGGATTTGTATTATCAGTTTCTAGCGGAAGCGGGTTTGTATGAAAGTCAGGAAGAAGCTGTATCTCGGGAAGAAGTGCTTGGGAGCTTGGACCAGGTTGATTTGCTGAATCGGTTGCATTTCGTGTTCTCTGAGGTTCTTCTGTTGTACATTCTTTGAATCATCTCAAAATTGGACAGGTTGTGAAGAAATGGATAAAAGCGGTTAGTCGAGCCAAGGGATTCAATGAGCAGCTGGTCCAAGAAGCAAATGCTAAGATATTCACCTTTGGTTCTTATCGCCTAGGGGTATGGATATCCTCCCCTTTTTGCTTATGCTTTTGCTTATTCTTTTTAATACTTATTTTACTTGTATATTTATAATTTAGCACAAAGAATTCTTTGGCAATATCTTGTATTGTGCTTATGGTGGATACGCCAAGAACTCGTTTACTTTCTGGGAAATGATAAGGGGTTTACAGTTATTTGGGGACCTTAATTTTTGACTCTAAGACATGGGAAGTGGCAAGGATGCCATGGCTTGCAAATTAGAAACTACAGTATTTATGAATGTTCAACATTCAAAAGTATCAATGTTAGTGACTCAGTGCTGATTTGGCCTAGTTGGTGGGTGATGGGCCAAGTCAGGTGGAGGATTGCGTGTAATTTGATATGGACATTAAGTTTCCTGAATGCTTTCTGTATATGAATTATTTCTCAGTTTTGAGAGCAGGCCAATTTGCTAGCTATTGAGCTGCAAGTTGCAATACAAAATTCTAGCACAAAATCTTTGACTGTTCTGGAGAGGATTGACCAACAATGATCACATATGGTGGGTCATAACTGGTGGTGGGTTCATTGCCACTATTAAAGCCAGATTGATAGAAGAGGAGACATGATATCTGAAAAAAGAAACTCTTATCTGTAAAATTTATTAGAGTTATTAACATCTAAAGGCCAGTATGAGGTCATGGATGGAAATAGGGGCTTATTGACATCCTTGATGGTCAGTATGGATCAGTTCTCTAATATAAGTTTTTTATCATTCATATGGAAAATGCATATGGTTAGGATCATCTTATAATGTTGTTTTAAGCCCTGTATATCCTCCACAGAAGCCATTGAATGGTGTGGCTTGATCCTTGATGCCAGATGTCCACATATTGTGCTTAGCAATGCTATTCTTAGTCTGTGATTGGACTCTTTTTTAACTATACATTTTCCTACACATACATATATACATGTTACATACATCATAATTGTTAGGTATTCTTTTTGTTTCTATAATATGTATATCCCAGCAACAGCTCTCTCTTTGATTTTTTTTTTTAAATCTTGTGTTAGATAAACTCCTCTCTTGGCTTATAATTTAATTTCGATTTTGACCTTGTGCATTGTGTTGTTTCAATTTTTGCTATTTGTGGACATGATGCTTTTCTTTTCTGTTTTTGTTAGGTTCATGGCCCTGGTGCAGATGTAGATACACTCTGTGTGGGACCTAGACATGCAACAAGAGAAGTGCGATTGGCTTGTTTCACTTTCATGCAACAGTTTCTGAAATTGTTTTATTGCGCTTTTTTTTTTTTAATTTTGACAACTGAAATGCTCCTAAATTGCAGGAGGATTTCTTTGTTGAGCTTCATAAGATGTTGGCAGAGATGCCTGAAGTAACAGAGTTGCACCCTGTTCCTGATGCTCATGTCCCTGTGATGAAGTTCAAATTCAATGGGGTTTCCATAGACCTTCTTTATGCAAAGCTCTCCCTTTGGGTTATTCCTGAAGTAAGTATTTTTGTTCTCTTGTAATATATTACTTTTGGGTTATTCTTGTGTATTTTCAATCTGCATGGATAGTCTTCAAGGCACCAAGGTGAGGCTAGGTGACAGGGGGGCTGGGCCGGCATGACCCACATTTTTGTGCCACCCACACTGTTGCAGGCTGTGCTGGCACAGCCCCATGGGGGTGGGGCCCAGCATGAGCCTGGGCCTGTGGGCCAGGCCATGCTGGCCCATATTATTTCATTTTCTTTCTTTTTTTTGTTTTCACTAAAAAATAAAAAAATAAAAAAATTATAAAAATAATGAAAAGTTGAAGGAAAAAATGACAAATTCAATGATTGCAACAACAATTTGAAAAAAAAATCATCTTAAAATTTTATTCCATATGAATAATCAATTCATACAATAAAAATATAAAATTATTAAATGAAATTAAAAAATTGCTACAATGAAATGATTAAATAACATGTCGGGCCATGCCGACACGAGCCCACACGGGCTATGGGCCAGCACAGCCCGCGGGCCAAAAACCCTTGGCACAGCCTGGCTCCAGGGGTCATGCCAAGCCGGGCCATGCTGGCCTGTGGGTGGCCTGGCCCATTTTACACTTACTTTTTCTGCTTCTTTGCTTCCACAGTTCCACCAAACCTTACGAACATTAAACACCATCCCTAGACAAACAACTAAAGAAAATAGGCATAAAAATTTTCCTTTTGGCATTGCTTATTCCATTATAGCAGAACTGCTTGCTGTCTTACAAGGAGTACAGATTACTAGAAATATGAAACTGAGGATACAATGGGTGAGGAGATCGGCAAATGGGATGGCAGATACATTAGCCAAGCAAGGGGTGAATAGGAATCAATTGTTTTGGGTTCAAATGTAATTTGTTTTTGTTTTATTGTAGAGAGGTAGCATCTCATGCCTTTCTAAGGGATGCTTGTAATGCTTGCATCACTTCAAGTTTTATTTAATAAAATTTGAAGTTGCTTATCAAAAAAACTTGAAGCAAGTCCCTAGTCCCTCACCTTATCAGTACCTGAGCTTTGAACAATATGAATGCAGAGATAGTTGTTACTTGCTACTGTGTGGTCCCAATCCCACGAATATCTTTATATTTATTTCATGATAGTTATGGTAGTTAGGCCAGATATATTTGTTTTATATTTACTTCTGTTTCAGCAGGGGTATTTGTGTAACTCCACTAATGTTAAGTTACAAACAAATAAATACCAATCTGATGGGGCGGCAAGATTATCTAATCTCACCCTCTTCTCCTTTCTTCTTCTTCTTCTTCTTCTTCTTCTTCTTCTTCTCTTATCTCTTTTCTTCTTATGTTCGAGACCTTCTTTTCTCCTCTTTTTCTATTGAACTTATATATAAAAAAAAAAACAGGTTCTGGTTTCTTTTATCCAAGTTGGTATCAGAGCCAACCTAGGGCAGATTAGGGTTCTCATGTGAACCTAGTCCAGTCGGCTGCATGAAAACTTTCTAGGACTGGAAGCTCTGCATCATCACCTGATTCTTGGAGGTTGCTAGAGTCTTTTGTTGCTGCCCAAGGGTTTGCATGACCTTTGGAGAGTGCCTGGTGATCAGGAAGGATTAGAGAAAATGGGTAAGTCCAAATTTAGGGTTTAAATTGGAGATTAAAGGTGGTGATCAGTTTCTTTTTTGAGAAAGAACTTTTTATTGAGACCGACCTTGAATAAGAGCAGTTTAAACCACCCTGGAAGCAGCAGTTTACAGATATCTGTTCTCCCTGTTCTTTTCTCTAGGGCTTTTTAAACCCTACGATCAGTTCTTTGCTCACAGACTTGTTATTATTGACTGTGGATGATTTCTGGGTGATTATAGTTAACTGTGAATGGTTTCTGGGTGATGATTCTTGGCTATGAGTGATTTCTTGGTGGTGATTCTTGACTGTGAATGGTTTCACTGTGAGTGATTTCTGGGCGGCTGATTTCAATCATCTAAGTTTTTCTGCATAAAAAAAGGGGCAGTTCAGGGGTTTACTTCTTGAAATAATGACCTGTTAGTATCTTATATAAAATGGAGAAGGCTGGAAGTGAATTAAAGACTCAAGGGGAAGGTTTTTTAGGGGCTGGAAGCATGACTGAGAGTTCTTTTCAGATTACTACTGTTAGGTTTGATGGAACCAATTACTTGGAATGGGTCCAATCAGTTATGATGGCCATTGGAGGTAGAAGCAAATTAGGCTATGTGACTGGAGATATAAAGAAGCCAGCCAAGGAAGATCACATGCCAAATGGGTTCAAGAGAACCATTTGGTGATGAATTGGCTGTACAATTCAATGCAGCCTCATATTAGCCGAAATTATTTATGGGCAAAAATAGCCAAGGAGATTTGGGACAATATGAAAGAGACATACTCCCAACCCCTTAATGTTTCTAAGGCTTATGAGCTGAAGTGTGAAGTGAATAATCTTAAGTAGGGGGAGAAGCCAGTCTCCGTTTACTTTGCTACTTTGAAATCTCTGTGGCATGAAATTGACCATTTGGAGACAATTGAGTGAGAAAGTCAGAGAGATGCAACAACTTATAGCAAGCTGATTGAAACAAACATAGTGTTTGAATTCCTAGCCGGTCTGAATTCAGAATTTGATATTGTAAGACAGCAGCCACTTACCAGGGAGAGTGTGACATTGTCTTAGGCCTATTCACTAGTGCATGGTGAAGAGAGTAGGAGAAAGATGATGTTACAGTTTCAGCCTATGTAATCAGCCTTAGTAGCAACAAAACCAAAATTTGGGGGAGATAAGGAAAGGGAAATGAAGAAGGAAGATAAAAGGGAGATATTTTGTGATCATTGTAAGAAGCCGAAACATACTAGGGACACTTGTTGGAAGTTGTATTCTCATCTTATTCCAATTTGACTCAGAAATAAGAAGGGAAATACTAACGTGACAGTTATATTGATAGTGCATCATCTTCTAGCACAAGGACCACATCTCTAAATGCCCTAGCTGTTGTTCGAACTACCTTAACACAGTTGGAGAGTGAAGCTAGTACTTTTGGACCATCATCTCAGCTACTAGCTACTACATTTGCTACTCCCACTTCAGCCTTTGCTCACTTAGGTATAAGAGTTATAACATATCATGAATCAGGCCCAGGTAACACTAGACTTTTTTGGGTAATAGATTCCAATGCTTCTGATTATATGACTAGTTTATCCACCTTGTTTACTACCTACTGGCTATCCTTTGGAAGAGAAAGTATCTATAGTTGATGGCTCTCTTGTGCCTATCTTTGGCAAGGGAGACATTAGATTTTCTAATGCTATCTCTTTGTCCTTAGTTTTGCATGTTCTTAAGCTTAGTGCTAACCTTCTTTCCTTCTACAGCTCCAGGCCGATCCCAATTCCTTCTACAGCTCCAAATCCAAGTAGTACCTTCATTGCTGATCCCATTGAGCCCATTGTTGCAGATGATATACCTAACATTGCTAAGCCTCAGCTCCTACCTTCAGATGACCTTGATCTCTCAATTGTAGTTTGTAAAGGGAAGCGCCATTGTACTTCATCCACTACTCATTGTATCTCCTAGTTTATTTCTTATGATTGTCTTACACAATCCTATAGATCTTTCCTGGCCTCTATTACTGCTATTTCTATTCCCAGAGCAGTGCAGGAAACTTTATTGATACTTGAGTGGAAAGATGCAATGAAAGTAGAAATTGATGCTCTTGTTAAAAACAATTCATGGGAGTTGGTTGACTAGACTGAGGGGAAGAAACCTGTTGGGTGTAGATGGGTGTTTAGTGAAATATAATGTTGATGGCTCCGTAGAAAGATATAAAGTCATATTGGTTGCAAAGGGATTCACACAAACTTAGCATAGATTATTTGGAGACGTTTGCACCATAGCCAAGATGAATACTATCAGAGTCTTATTATCCATTGCTGCAAATTCCCATGGCCACTGGTTTAGATTAAGGGTGCAACTTTTCCGAGTTAGGGTTGGAATTTTGTCAAAATTTCAATGGGCCCAGCTCGAAGCCCGAGCCCGAAACAATGTAAACTGTTAACTTTGGCCAACCCGACTTGCACTCCTAGTTCAGATGCATGTTAAGAATGCATTCCTTAATGGAGATCTACAAGCGGAGGTGTACATGGAGTTGCCCCCTGGTTTATATAGTGCAGAGGCAAGGTTTGTCGACTGGAGAAGGCTTTATATGGGCTGAAGCAGTTTCCAAGAGCCTGGTTTGATAGATTTAGATTGACTATAGAGAAATTTGGCTATGTTCAAGCTCAATCAGATCACACTCTCTTCTTTAAGAAAATAAACTCCTCTTTGACTTTGCTTGCTATCTATGTTGATGAAATTGTAGTGATAGGAAGTGACATTGGTGAGATTGACCCCCTTAAGCAACTTCTTCACCAAGAGTTTGAAGTAAAAGATTTGGGGGAACTGCACTACTTTTTGGGAATTGATGTAGTTAGATCTAAGCATGGCATCTTTGTATGCCAAAGAAAGTATGTTCTTGATTTGTTGGAAGAAATTAGGAAGTTAGGAATTAAACCAGCCAACATACCCATTGAGCTAAACCATAGGATAAGTGCAAAAAATGGAGAGCCTCTTAAAGACAGAGTTGTGTATCAGCGGTTGGTTGGGAAACTTCTTTATCTTTGCCTAACATGACCAGACATTTCTTATGCTATTAGTGTTGTTAGCCAATACATGCATTCTCCCAAAACCACCCACCTTGCAGTGGAAATGGTACTTGCTTATTTGAAGAGATGCCCAAGGAGAGGTATACTCTTCAAGAATAATGGTCACACGAAAATAGAAGCATACACAAATGCTGATTGGGTTGGTTGTATTGATGACAAGAGATCTACCTCCGGGTATTATGTTTTGTAGGGGGAAGTCTTGTTTCCTGGAGGAGTAAGAAACAAAATATTGTTGCTCGTTCCAATGCTGAAGCTGAATACACAAATCTATGGATAATGGAGTGGTAGAAGTGTTATGGTTGCAATCTTTACTTGATGAGTTGGGTGTTGAATATGAGAAGTCTTTGATATTGTATTGCGATAACCAGGCTGCAATTAACATTGCTAACAATCCAATACAACATGACAAAACTAAACACATTGATGTGGACCGACACTTTATCCGAGAGATAGTTGCATCTCAAGAAGTGTGTCTTCCCTATATTGCCTCAAATATGTAGCTAGCTAATCTCTTCACTAAGGCGGTTACAAAGACCAAGTTGAAGACAGATTTACGCAAGTTGGGAATGACTAATATCTACTCCCAACTTGAGGGGGAGTGTAGAGATATTTGTTAGTTGCTAGTGTGTGGTCCCAATCCCACTAATATCTTTACATTTATTTCATTGTAATTATGGTAGTTAGGCCAGATATATTTGTTTTATATTTATTTCTGTTTCAGCACGGGTATTTCTGTAACTCCACTAATGTTAAATTCAAACATATAAATACTAATCTGATGGGGTGGCAAGATTATCTAACTGCACCCTTTTCTCCTTTCTTCTTCTTCTTCTTCTTCTTCTTCTTCTTCTTCTCTTATCTCTTTTCTTCTGCTCGTGACCTTTTTTCTCCTCTTTTTGTACTGAACTTATATCAGAAAAACAAACAGGTTCTGGTTTCTTTTATCCAAGTCTGATGAAACACAGGAACAGAATCCACTTGATTTTTTTAGGGAAAATTACAGGTAAGTACCCTGTACTTTGGGAAAAGTGACAAAAAAGGGCCTGAACTTTCACTTACGACGATGAGGTACCTTGTACTTATAAATTCCAACACTCAAGTCCAGCTGCTAACATCATCAGTTAAGTAGAGAAAAGAACCGCATGTGATGTCACGTGCATCTTTAAACATTTCATTAACCCTAAACTACTCTTTAACATAATTTGGTAACTCATCTTCAACCTCTCGTTCCCTCTCGTCGATCCGGATAAATGGTGGTTGAGCTCTCCCTCCCTCTCTTCCTTTTCTTCTTCTTCTTCTTCTTCTTCTTCTTCCTCCATTTCTCTTCTTCTCTTCGTTTTTCTCCCTCTTCTTTTCTGCTCCATATTTTTTAGCAGACCCAGGGAAAACAAGTATAGAGGCAGAACATGGTAAGCCTAGTCTACTTCTTGCAGTTCATGGCTATAGCTCCAAATCTTTCTTCCATGGGTTCTCTGGTCAGGTGGTCAGGATGGTGATGTCCCATTGTACAGAGGCAGAACACCAAATTGTCACCATTGAAACTGGGCAGGATGGTGACGTCCAGTCAAAACTGGGCTTGAATCTAAATTTCTGGCCTAGATCAGAGATATGTTTACCCAAATAATCTGCAATTCAAGAGGGAAAGAGATGAAAAGAGGGAAAACCTCTGTTCCCTTATTGTTGGGCCATATACGGGGAATGGTTAGAAAGGAGAAGAAAAGATGGGCATTTTGGTAAACTTACCCTTACCGTAATGCATCTATTAACTGAGGAGTGGGGTGTTGGAATCTGGAAGTACATGCACCTCATTGTCACCATTGAAAGATCGGACCCTTAAGTCTCACCACCCCCAAAGTACAGGGTACTTCCCTGTAATTTTCCCTTTTGAGAAGAGTGAAGAACATGAATATTCACAATTTCACATGAACAATCCTCTTATTAATTTTCTTGTATTTATTTCTAGGTCCAGCCCCAAGAATTCTATTTTCAATCTAGAAAAAAAAACCATAGTTATGTGGACCACAAAATTGTTTATGCCCTTTCTCTCTTCTTCCAGTTTATCATTTGACAAGACATGTCATTGTCTTTCTCCCTGTTACAGTTTATAAAGGTAATCATATCTGGTTGACAAATTGTAAAGTGTTAGAGACTGACTATAATCATTATTTCTGTTTGACATATTGCATCCATGTCCAAGTAGGGATGGCAATTTCCCCCGTAAAACCGGGGGCCCACCCCACCCCGAACGGGGCGGGTTTTCCCCGACCCTAAACAAGGACGGGGTGGGCACAGGGAAAATAATTTTTCCCCGAACCGGGTACGGGGCAGGGATGGGTTTTGTAAATAATTCCCCGAACCCGAAGGTAAATTAGTAAAATATCTCTAGGTTTAATATTGATATTTAAAATATCTCTAAGTTTTCCCTAAATTTTTAAAATCCTAGGATCCCATAATTTTATTTTTGATTTACCCCTAAAGTATTATAATTCAATTCTAAAATACCCCCAAATTCCTATATCCTATATCCATTCCCCGATGGGGAATGGATGCCCCGCCCTGAACCGCCCCGCCACCGGGGATGGGGCGGGTACGGGGCAAGGTATCGTGACTTCGGGGCAGGGACGGGGAGGAGGTGCCCCGCCCTGTTGCCATTCCTATGTCCAAGGCTAATTATTGTGTCCGTATCGATCCACGTTAGCATATTCTGAACTGGGATGTTGCCAAATCTAAATATTCTAGCTGACCTTATTAAATTGGCGTTTTAATGCTTCATAATTTAAGTGTATCCCTACCAAAATGCATTTGGTAAATCTGTTTCAAACAGTGTTATTTTGTTGCAGGACTTAGATATTTCACAAGACAGTATATTACAGAATGCAGATGAACAGACAGTTCGTAGTCTCAATGGATGCAGAGTGACTGATCGGATTCTGCGTTTGGTACCAAATATTCAGGTCTTGATTGCTTTAATATGCATATGTGGGTATCCGTTAGTGAATTCCCTTTGAATGATTTCTCTGACATGTCTCTGCTTTGTCTGATGTAGAATTTCCGTACAACACTAAGATGCATGAGGTTTTGGGCAAAACGCCGTGGAGTCTATTCAAATGTAATGGAGGCTCTTGCAGATGTTCATCTCATTATTCATTCCATTATTCTATTATATATTGGTCACATTCTCTCTCCTCCCTCTCTCTCTTCCATGACCAGGTGGCAGGGTTTCTTGGTGGTATAAACTGGGCATTGCTTGTTGCTCGTATATGCCAGCTATACCCAAATGCACTACCAAGTATGTTGGTTTCTCGTTTCTTCAGGGTTTTTGCCCAGTGGCGTTGGCCAAATCCAGTCATGCTGTGTGCCATAGAAGAAGGATCTTTGGGTCTTCCTGTTTGGGATCCAAGAAAAAATTACCGTGACAGGCTTCATCAGATGCCCATAATTACTCCTGCTTATCCTTGCATGAACTCCAGCTACAATGTTTCATCGAGTACATTGCGTGTTATGACAGGAGTTCCAGAGAGGAAATGAAATTTGTGAGGTATGTTCCTAGGTTTTCGACTTATGCGAGTTGAGGAAAGCATGCGCATTGGGAATTGACTTTTCCTTATTAGATTCTTCTGACAAGTACTTTTATGTTTGAAAGCATATCCATTAAATTATTTGATTTGTCAAAAGGGCATTGGGTGTTTGTAAGTAGGAGAAAATGCATTCTTGTGCAATCCATGTTAAACAAAATAGTGTAGCATAACCATGTCAACAGTCAGAGGAGTTGGTTCTTTTTTTTTTTTTTTTTTTTTTTGGGGGGGGGGGGGTAGGGGAGGGGGGGATGGAGTATTGGCATCCATCTGCATAGAATTTCAAGCCCCTTAAATTCTTTTCTGAATTGATGTGGGTAAACACCTGCAGCCAATGGAGAAAAACAAGGCTGACTGGAATGCTCTCTTTGAGCCTTACCCTTTCTTTGAAGCATATAAGAATTACCTGCAGATTGACATCAGTGCTGAGAACGACGATGACTTGAGGAAGTGGAAAGGTTGGGTTGAATCCCGACTTCGGCAGCTTACATTAAAGGTGGTTGTCACTTATGGTGTTGGTTTCTTTGGCCAGTGTATAACAACATATTCGTTTCTAATTTTCCTTTTATGCTCAACCTAGATTGAGAGACATACATTTGGAATGCTTCAATGCCATCCGCATCCTGGTGACTTCTCAGACAAATCAAGACCATTCCACTGTAGTTACTTCATGGGCCTTTCAAGAAAACAAGGTGTTTCTGTGCATGAAGGGAAGCAATTTGATATTAGGGCAACTGTAGAGGAGTTCAAGCTTTCTGTTGGTATGTACACTTTATGGAAACCTAGAATGGAGATCCATGTGTCTCATATAAAGCGAAGGAACATTCCTCTCTTTGTCTTTCCTGGTGGAATTCGCCCTTCCCGTCCTGCTAAAGAAGATGGGGAGAGTAAGCCAGTTTCAAATCTGAAGCTTTGCAACTCTGTTCAAGCTAGCAAATCATGTGAAAGTGCAGTAGGTGCCATGGGTGTAGCAGATGATATAAGAAAGAGAAAATTGGGCTATGACAATGATGAAAATAATCCAAGAGCTGCCAAACTTTTGTCAGTAACTACTACTGAAGGATCTGTAAGTCGTAGCTCACCCACTGCTAGTACCTGCACTACTGCTACGTTTTATGATGCACCATCTGAGGTAAGAGAAAGAGGACAGCATGAAAATAATTTAGGGGACAGCCCAATAAGTGCTACATGTCTCACTGGGGTTCCTTCTCATGGTGGTGAAGCTGAGGGATCTGTTAGATGCAGCCCACTGGTTAAACCTTCCTCTACTAATTCTGATTTGGTATGCTCCAAGGAGGCAGAAAAGCTTGCAATCGAGAAGATTGCTTCTGGTCCATCCGTTAGTCAGCAGGGTTTCCTAGAGGAGCTTGATGAACTAGAAGATGATATTGGATCAACTGATCAAGTTAAAGTATTTGGAGTGAGCAGGAAAGGCATCTCCTCCGAATCTTTGGCAGAAAATGTTAGAGCTGCAGCAGTAAATGGAATATGTTCACCAGCTGGATTTATTCAGAATGGAGGCTTGGAGGAGCTTGAGGTTTGCCAGCCTTGCAATCCTTTTCCTTTAAAAATTTCTACATTCTTTTTTTTTCACCAGTAACAGAAAATTTTATTAAGACTATGAAACTTTAATTACAAGAGAGGGGGGGGGGGAGGTAAACTGTCTTAACTCCCCCACCAGCAAAGCCATTTCTCTGTTATGTTGCACATCATATCAAATGTAGAATTATTTTACCAGCCAACCCGCATTAACTTGATGCAATCCTTTTCCTCCTAAAATTTATTCAACTAACTAGGGAATGCTACATTAAGTTTCCATTATATAGTACTTTAACTGATGATTTTGAGAAACAGCAAAGCAGCATTTAAAGATACGAAACTCGCATTTATATAATACATCATCAAAGCATAACTGGTGGGTGTGCTATATTTTTCAGTTAAAATCACAAGTACCGTTGGTTCTCTAACATTTTTTTCCCTTTATTTTCCAAAGCCTGCTCCGTTCCCTTTATTTTCCATGCCCCAGCGCAAGCCGCTTATTAGGTACAGTGATCAATAAAAAACGGGAATGCAAATTTTGGGTTTATTCTTTGTTGAACTTAGTATGGAAGACATTGAATCATATTGGTGTTTGTTTGGATTTTTTTACATATTTATTGTAATTTTTGCAGGTTGAGCCTGACATCTGTGGCGACAACTACCAGAAAAAGCACATGAAACTAAGACATGTAGCTGGATGAGTTTTTCTACTTGTCTTTATACATGGTCAGCCACTGTAAATTCTTCTTTTTTATTTATTTATTTTCTTTTTTTCCTCTTTTTTTTTCACTTTTAATATTTTCTTGTAATGCCCACGTCCACATATGATAGAGGTGCACTTCCTCCTACTGAGAACTGTCGAGGAATCCCTCTTGAGGGCCGTGGGGTAAGTGTTTTAACCTGTAAAAAAAACCGGCAGTCAATTCTTAATGGAGGTCTTCCTTGAGTTGGCGGTTGGTGATGTGTTGCGCAGATCTCTCCTCCCATGAAACGTTAATTTTCAATTAAATAAAAATTGATATTGCTTTAACTCTTTATGTACGTGTGCATGAATGGATGATGGATCTATGGATGTGCGATTGGTTACTTTTATCACGTCTGCGGCTGCATGTTAAATGGTCCATTGGATAAGGGATCTCTTTTGGACGTTTTGGTTTACTCCATTCTTGTGTCTGCGACTGAATGAATTTGTCCAATTACTAGTTAGTGGATGCAGGGAGAAGGAACAAGCTGTCTTGCCATGGTAAATACATGTACAATGTGTACCGTATGCAGGTGGGTTGGCTATAATATGGAGCAGGGTTTTGGGTTGGCTATAATATGGAGCCGGGTTTTGGGCAGTGAGAATAAAATGTAGGGTCAGAAATGAAGTGATTCTAGGAAGGAACCTTGGAGTAGGTTCTTTTTTTTCTTTGTTTTGGTATTTCGGTGATGCGCCCGAATCCCCCACAGGGCCGTTTGAATAATGTAGCACCACATTAATAAACCCTCGGCCCCCCAAAGTCGGTGGTTGTAGGAATCAAATCCACATTTCTGCTGGCTCAAACAATTGAGCCACCCCTCAGTTGGTAACCTAGGAGCAGCTCTAATGAATAATAAAACGAGAGAAAATAGACAAGATTCATGCTCTATCGGTTACAAGTTGAAGGGGTTAGAAGGGCTAGGGGCAGATTAAAAAGTTAAGGAATGATTTAAGTATTCGTAATTTAACAATGGATATGAAGGTTCAAAGTATTGCAACGTATTGGTGCATATAGAATCCATCGGGTTATGCGTGAATAGTGATTGGGTAAAGTAGTGGTCCACTATAACTGAACATTATTTTAAGAAATTAATAACATTCTTTGAATATTGAAATATAACATTCATTCCAAGAGTATTAGATATACAAGTCCATCCTTTGATCATATACCCCAAGTACATATATCAACAAATTAAATTAATTAAGCCAAGGAAAATGAAGAAAGATGTGGTGGGTCAGAAACTTCAAGAGTTCCTTCCAACATGTGTGTGACCATTTTCATGGTAGGTCTTAGAGATGGATCCTCCTGAATACACCACATTGCCATCCTCACAAGCTTCTCCAACCTTCTCACGTCACTAGTTGCTTCCTCCTCGTTCTCCACTAAGAAGCCCAGAGTCCCTCCCATGTAGCTGTCACAAGCCTAGTCAGTATCACCGTGTTTTCATCCTCCAGCTTCGTTTCCACATTCCTTCTGCAACAAACAATCTCTAGCAGCATCACCCCATAGCTATAAACATCCACCTTCACTCTGATGGGCCTGCTCTTGAACCGTTCGGGAGCGACATACCCTTTGGTTCCCCTTATGCCTGTTCTAGTTTGACTCTGGTCGGCTTTCAAAAGCTTTGCCAATCCAAAATCAGAAATTCTTGCTGTAAATGAGTCGTTTAGAAGGACGTTTTGAGGCTTTATGTCACAATGGATGATCTAGGTTTTCCATTCATCATTCAGGTAAATGAGCCCTCTTTCGATTTCAAGTGCAATATATCTGCACTCTCTAGTTCTTAATTTTGTAATTTTCTTTTATATTTTGTCTCCCTCGGATTTTAGAGTTGAAAGGTCTAAAATGTAAAAATAAAATTAATCTGAAACATTTTGTAACAGAGCTCAATAAGCGAAGAACCAAGTAAAACCCACAACTGTACGGCTTTTCATCTTCTTCTCTTCTTATCTTCATTCTATATTCATTTTCTCTTCTACAGATTTTTTGGTTCTTCCTTTGATTTTTACTATCACACTTCCGTAGCTCCAACAGATTCCAGTTAGGCCTTAAGCTTCCAAAGAGAAAGGTTGCTAAAAAGCAACTGCTCATGAATTCGTATGCCAGAAGACGGTGTTGCCCTTCATTGAAGAATCCTAGAAGTTGGACCAGATTCTTGTGGTTGGTCCGGTCAATCGCAAATACCTCGACGTCGAATTCCTTCTCATTTCCCTTCTCCATATTGTCAAACTTCTTCACTGCAACATGGTTCCTCTTGCTCTCTGCTAGGCTCCCTTTATAAACTGTTGCAAAAGCACCAATACCCAATACATCCTTGAACCCATTTGTAGTTTCTAATTCTTTGTAGCTAAAACTACGCAGATTCATCTCTGGCATGACATGGTACGGTTCGGGTTTTTTTTTTCATTACTCTTTTCTGTTATAAACACGAAGTTCAGAAACACAGATCCTCCCAAAAGCAACAACCACGGGAAGATCAAAGTCGATGGGTCTTTCTTTTCTGCACGCGGGAATGCGCACTCTGAGGAGGAATTATCCCTGCGTACTTTGAATGAGAGCTTTTTCCCCCAGAACTTGGATCTATCCTTCCGTTTGAGAGCGGGAGTTTTTTTTTCAGCAGTTCCCATCTCTGGGAATGGCAACTGCGCTGAAACAGTCATTCAAGCACGCTTGTTTGCACCACTCTTCATCCGCTTCAAATGCATCATAATCGCCCTCCGGCCAGTCAGTGTTAGGCATCGGCCTCAGGTCAAACAGGGTGGTTTCTTGTGATCCCCCTTCACAACTTTGTGGAACAAAGTTCTATCTGCATCTGTTCCACTTGTTATTGGGATCCAAGTAGGTATACCCAGGTAGATATTCACAATTGGGCTTCTTGCTCTCTTAATAAAAAATGCAGTAGCTGTTCAACCCACAAGCACCACTGCCATAATACCCCCGTAATTTGAGTGCAGATATTTGAAGGCATGAACCACACACTGGACCATCTTCTGTTACTTTGTCCGGTGGATTTTGGGTAGACCTAATGCCTGAAAACTCCATCATAATCAAGAGTAGTTCTTTGGTATGGGTCTAGTGTTGATAAGGCAACTGTGTTTGCTGGTGGAAAATGCAGTAGGCTTTCATTTGTTAGCGTTAGGTAAATGTAAGCGGATTGATTGAAGTCCAATTGAGAGCCAGTTCCTACAGTAAGCGTGGTAAACCTTATCCGTTGGGAAAGCCATGGGGTAAGGCACGAGGTTACCGTCTCTCTGCATTCGGAGCTAGCTGGAACTTCCCGCCTGAGTAGTCAGTTTCTGATTGAGGACAAACAAGACGGCTCCCTCGATCTAATGTTTGTGCAGGGAATATGGTGTCAGTGTAAATTGAAACTCTCCCATGGTAACAGAATTTTGGTCTACGAGGACGAAGTTCCCGGTGTCGAGCGTGGCAGCATAACTCACTCCATTCTTGAAGAATTCAGCGTTCCATATCTCTCTCGGCCTAGAGGGTCCTTAAGTACAAGCATGCCGTCCGTGGTCAGCTCGACTTTTGATCCTGTCTGCACCAGCTCGTCTCGGTTGGCCGACCAAACTATTGTTTTATCGGGTATTTTATCAAACCAGATGGCAAGCAAGAAGCCTCTTGCTCCAATGGCCTGAAATCACCAGATGGTGAAACCCATGACGAATTGTCGTCGCCGGCGTAAAGAGATGAGCCTAAGCTTATGTTACGATAGGATTGGGCGACGGTAGAAAGCGAGAGAAGCAGCAGCGAGAGGGAGAGAAGAAGAGATGATGCAAAAGTCGACATTTTTTTTTTTTTTTTTTTTGGGGGGGGGGGGKGGCTAAGAGCAACAGTCGAGATTGGTGTAACCAACGAAACGTCCTAAATTTAAAAAACTCTCGGATGAACTGTGCTGGAAATAAAATCATGCACAGTAGACGAACTTCTTCCGCCTTGGGGGAAGATGATGATGACCCTAAAATCTAATAATAAAAAATTTCCATACATGCGTAAATGGGTACTTCCTGGAATGTGTGGTCTATTTGTTATTCTCTTTGGAGTCGACTGCCTTACGACTGACTTCTGGGGAGTGGGGAAAAGCAGCAACTCATAAGGTTCTAAGTTCTAACAGGTAACAGCTACTGACTTCTTCAACGCGGGAAAAAAAAAGTAAATAAACTGACTTCTTCAGAGAGCCGAGACTGTTGTCTTTACCGACTGCTTAGATATTTAAGGTCGATGAAGGAGTTTTGGTTCAAATATGATATTTTTTTAGCTGTTTTTGATAAAACTTATGGCTTTGGGGAATTCAACTTAGAAATCTATAACCTATAAATTCAAAGCATATTATCTAAAATTTATCATAATTTTTTCACATTTTTCCTTAAACTTACCTGACTTTTCAAAATCTCTAGAGAGCGAGTTTTATTGTCCAAAATTCACATTTCCTTTGATGTTTGTTGTTTGATTCCTGTAATTGTTCTATCCTCGGCCTACGCCCACATTAGGCCCAACTCTGCATAAATACATATTCTAACAAGGTTAACTGACCATTCAGAAGTAATTTGGCCATATAAAAATACTTGAATGACTTTTTTGAAAAGTCATGATAAATTTAATAGAAATATGAAAATGTCACCATGGCCATGGTTTGAGAAAATTCAGTCTTTTCCTTTTGGGCTGACCTTAACCCCGGTAATCCTTTAACCCTTCTCCCCTCTATAATAATAATAATAACTGGCTCATGCATGTATTGGTGCTAATATTTAGCCTCTCCTAGCTAATTCAAGTTACTCAACAAGGCATATCCCATACCACAAGTATATGCATGGTATCTAATTCTTCGGTTGTTAAAGTTTCCAATTCTTTACTCATTCAATGTAAGTGAAATTAAGCCTGAATATAAAGTCACCAGTTTATTTTCGACATATCATATTTGGTTAAGGCCCTGTATTAATTACCATTGTTTTAGCATTAAGAGACAGAGTCCAAAGTAGGGGTGTTCGCGACTGTGAACTTTTTTTTTTCAAATTGAACCGTTTTTTTTTTTTTTTTGTAAAATCTCAAACTGAAGGGCATGGAGGCACTGGAACTCCAATAACTCCTAGCATCTTGTAAAATCTCAAACTGAAGGGCATGGAGTCCAAAGTACTTATGTCATTCATTGCCTCCATATCATTCTCTAGCAGATTATCTAATTAATTAACCTGCGTTGACAGTAGCAGTCGTAAGCCATCTATAAGAATTTCTCCATTGTCATCCTCATCAATTTCTCCTGGAGTGTTCTTCCTGCAACAGATGATCTTTAGCAACAAGACCCCAAAACTATATACATCGACCTTGGCAGTGATTGGCATACTCCTGAACCACTCAGGTGCAACGTACCCTTTGGTTCCCCTATTAACTGTATGAGTTCGACTCTGGTCATTCATCAGAAGCTTTGCCAATCCAAAGTCGGAAATCTTTGGTAAAGTATGCTTTGAGGCTTTACATCACAATGGATGATCAGGGTTCTGCACTCTTCATGCAAATACAGGAGTCGTCTTGCAACTTAAAACACAATCTAGGTGCGTTGGTTCCAATCGGGCTTTGGAGTTCTGAAAAGGAAGCTTAATTTCTAAAGCACCATTGCTCATGACTCATACACAAGAAGTTGATTCTGCCCCTCATCGCAATACGCAATCAATCGGACTAGATTCTTGTGGGGGGTCTGTCCAATAAAACCTACTTCAGTTCTCGTTAATTACTCTATCTTTTTTTACTGTAACTAATTTTGTGGAATCTAATTCGAGGACCCCTTTATAAACAGTTCTAAAAGAACCTCTTCCCAGCTCTTCCCTGAAATCACTTGTAGCTTCTTGGAGGTCTTGCTATGGAAAAGAGGATGGATTTGCTTGTACAATATTTCTTTCTGGTTTAACCGATTTTGGTTTGTTGCAGTAAGCTAAGAAAACAAACATGGAAATTGCAGCTAGCAGTAGCAAGTTAACAAAGACGGAGCTACCCAAAAACAGCGAAATGATGAGGATCACTATCCTCATTTGAAAGCGGTAGACTCTTTTTCCAACAGGTCTGACCAATGAAAACTACAGCTGCACATCGACAATCTCGCAAGCAAGACCTCTGGCATTCTTCTTCAGTAAAAGGTTCAAATCTTTCATAGTCAGATTCCGGCCGATCTGTATTAATCAACTCCTCGAACCCATAAAAATCTTCTGGGTTCCGCAGTCCGTCTCTGTTGCACCATTGTATAAAATCTGGAATGCAACCGCTGAATCTGTCATCAGGATCCATCATAGAATAGTGAGGTGGGCATTAATCAACAATCAGGCCTCTTTTCTGCAGTAAGATTGCAAATGCTATTAAACCCACAAACGCCGTTGCCCAATACACTATCCTGGCCACACAGACATCATCAGGGATTTTCCACACAACAGACCATTTCTTATTTCCAATAGAGTTCTTTGGGTGAGCATATTGTGTGAATTTTACTCCATCAAAATCAAGTGTCGCTCCATAGTATTAGTTGCTGCCTGGAAAGAAGACCCCAAAATTCAGACCAAACATACTCCCATTATAGCAAAAGCCATATGGGATTTTCGTTGACACAAAATTCACAAATCCTACATTCGAACACGTCAGTGAAAAAGATAAAGATAGCGTCGCTGCACCCTGCAGGTAGAGAGTCAACAATCAATGTCTTACATCTGAGGTCAAGTTAAAGGCAAGGGTCGAGTTTGCAAGAGGATACCGGCGCCGGGTAACTTGTTTCTTGATTTCTTTCTGGAACAAAACTAACTATTTTGAATTTGATTCTATTGGACAAGTCTAAAATCTATAATGTCTAATGCCAATTTATGACAGTTGATTGACTGATTCAACTAAAAGGATGGACCGTGGACCTATTAAGGGCCCATTTGGTTCAGACTCACAGTCGAAATTAAAATCGGAATCGAAATTGGGGAATGCCTCCGATTCCGCCCAACCAAACAGTTGCACTGATTCTGATTCCACACCCCTATTTCCACGAACCAAACGGAAATAGTGTAGCCCATTTAGATTTTTTCGGTTTAGCTTGGCTGTGTAGGACTGGTTGTACCTGAAACGATTACATCATTTTTGGTTCTTGCTTGTTCTGAACTGGTCGAGTCAGACCCAAATCAATTATTTTGTAAATAAAATATAATGATTTTCTAGTTTTTTTTGTAATTTTTATTATATTTTATGTCTAAAATATAACAACTCATTTTGTTTAAAAATACTTGGTTTATTAACATGTAAATAATTTGTTATTTTTATTGTCATTTTTATTAAGGTTATGTTATCTAAAATTAAATTTTAAATTATTGTTTGCATAAAACTATATATATATATATATATATATATATATATGGGTCCCAGACCCAATTATCCCAATTATTAATTAGGATAGTCTTGGGTCTATGTTTTGTCCCAATTAAAATGGTTGTACCATCCACCATGTTGAAAACTGGATCCAGACTAAACGATTAGATTGCTTAACCTAGGAATTGGTCATGGCTCAGGGTTCAGTTTTGGTCCTTTTGGAATGGACCGCTTTCTTTATATTTGAAAAAGACATTGAATTGGTCAAAAACCACTGACCCGGGTGGTCAAAGAATTAAACTGTTTGACCTAGATTTTTCCTTAAAATCGTTGATTTTGGTCAGCAAATCGCTGAATCGAGTAATTAACCGTTTCAATGGTTTTGACCATTTTTTTTTTTTTAATTTTTTTGTCAGAACGAATTGAACGTTCTATTCGAACAATCGAACCATTCGACCCAGTAACCGGACCCCTGACCGGTTCGGTTTTAAAAACCATGATATTTGATACATTTAATATTCTATATAATTTTACATACTATGAATTTTTTTTTTTGATACAGTAGAAAATAAAGAAAGAAAGAAAGAAAGAGGTAAGGAAAGATTATAAACAAGTCATTCGAATACTTAAGTCACCCAAAGAATAGGAAAAAAAGTTAACTGAAAGAAGTGCATAATTGTGGTTACATAGGAGATATACAATAGATTTCAGAATTAAAGGGAAGAGAAGATGGGGACTCCTGTAAGTGTAATCCCAGAGTCAACCATGAATATGTTGCCTGGAACGTAGTAACAGGGGTCGATCACGATTTCTGCTTTCAACTAATTAACAGAGCTATAAGGATAGGGACATGGCGGTAGAGGAACTTCGACAATGCCTTCTAGCATCTGAATGACGTTCTTCATCGTGGGCTTCAGCGATGGCTCCTCTTGAATGCACCATATTGCAATCCTCACTAACCTCTCTAGACGACATATATCATTCATTGCATCCATATCGTTCTCCACCAGCTCATCTAACCTTCCCTGTTGATAGCAATCGTAAGCCCAATCTGTTAAAATTACTCTATGATCGGCCACCGTCTCCTGTTCGACGCTTTTCCTGCAACAGATGATCTCCAGCATCATGACCCCAAAACTATATACGTCCACCTTGACGGTGATTGGCATGTTCCGGAACCACTCAGGTGCGACGTACCCTTTGGTTCCTCTGATGGATGCAAGAGTTCGACTCTGATTAGTCATCAAAAGCTTCGCCAATCCGAAGTCAGAAATCCTGGCCGTGAAATGGTCATCCAGAAGTATGTTTTGGGGCTTAATGTCACAATGGATGATCTGGGTGCTGCATTCTTCATGCAAGTAAACGAGTCCTCTTGCGATACCAAAAGCAATCTGAACTCGTTGGTTCCAATCAGGCCTCATAATTCCAAAAAGAAAGCTTGCTAAAGTGCCATTGCTCATGAACTCATACACCAATAGCCGCTGCTGTCCCTCCATACAATATCCAAGTAATTGCACTAGGTTCTTGTGATGGGTCCGACCGATGATTCTCACTTCAGTTTTGAATTCTTCCTCCCCCTTTGGAACCACTTTGTCTAACTTCTTCACTGCGACCAGACTTCTAGAACTTGTTCCCAATACCCCTTTATAAACAATGCCGAAGGCACCCCTACCAATCTCTTCACTAAATCCTTGGGTAGCTTCTTCAAGCTCCTTGTAAGTAAAAGAACGCAGGTTTGTTTCCAAGACGCTGATTTCTGGTTCAACTGTTTTCAGTTTCTTGCGATTTGTGAAAAGAACAAGACATATTGCAGCTCCAAACAGAAAATTGACAAATACGGAGCTACCCAAAAGCAGAGACCCAGTAAGGATTAATGTCTTATTCTCATATTTCCCTTTTGCGTCTGGAATTATAGGACAATGAGTATTATTGCGAGAAGAAGGTGGTGGAGGAGGAGCAGTTACTCTAATTTTAACAAGTGCTTTTGCAGTGTCATCCTCTTTGAACCTCCCGTTAGAGAGTGGAAGCTTTTTCTTCCAACATGTCTGGCCTCTGTGGATGGCAACCGCACAATGGCAATCGTGCAAGCAAGAATTTTGGCATTCTGATTGATTCATGGGCTCCAATCTTCCATAATCAGATGTCGGCCAATCAATTCTATCCAACACCTGGAATTGAAATTCCTCCTCTTTGTTTCCTGATCCATCTTCCCCGATACAATCTGGTAAGAAGTCTGGTTTGCAATCACTTAACTGGTTATTTGGATCCACGAGGGAATATCTGCTGGGGCAGTTACAACTAGGCCGGCCATCCTTTAGCGTACAGTAGCTGTTATATCCACAGACTCCACTTCCCAAATCATCCAAAGTTCCGAGACAAATGTTATCAGGAATTATCCACAATTGTTGCCAGCTTGCATCGCCGGTCCTCCGGCGGTAATATTGAACGAAGACCCCATCATAATCAAGCGTTGCCCTGTGATAGTAATTTGAGATTTGGGGTATCGTTGTTTTGTTGAAATCAAATTTCTGTCCGTTTCTTCGCTGTATATACATGTATCCAGATTCGTCGAACACCAACTGATAACCAGAATCTGTTGGATCTTGAGCTTTCGTGCCACTAACGTAGTAGTCACCATAAGAAAAGCTGGTCGGCAAGCCTACGGTATTAAGCACGAGATCCCCATCGTCGAGAAAGCGGAGCTGGAACTTTCCCCTGGAGTAGTTGGTTCCCGTCTGTCGAGAGGAAAGCTGGCCACCCAGCTGCAATGTTTGTTTGGGCAAGATGGTGTCAGTGGGACTGTTGAAGCTCTCCCATGCATAGCCAGAATTTGGACCAGGTAGGAGGACGAAGTTTCCAGTGTCGAGCATGGCACCATAAGAGATGGCAGCGTTTGGTGGAGTGTCAGGCTGCTTCCATATCAATTGGCCTTGAGGATCATTGAGCACAAGTTGGTCGCTGGTAAGCTCGACTTTTGATCCTTCTGGTGCAGGCTTATCTCCGTTAGCATACCAAACTATGGTTTTCTCAGGTATTTTATCGAACCAAATGGCAAGCAGATAGAGGTTGGTGTTAGCTAGACGGCGAAACCCGAATGCAAACTCGCCGGAGGGTGAGCGCCAGCTAGAACTGTTGTCAGCAGCGGAGAGGGATAAACCCACGGTCACGTTGGTTTGAGCGGCTACAAAAATGGGTAGAATAGGAAGAGAAAGCAAGAGGAAGAGAAGAGGAAGAGAGGCAGCAGAAGCCATTGAATCGAAGGTGGTACAGTCGTCTACAATTACATTACCGCCTGTTTTCTTATACAGAGAGTATCAGAAAAATTTCTATTGATTGACTTCACTATGGACTTGTTGGAAGTCAATTGCAATTGCGTTGGACCGTGGAAGTGGTTGCCTGCCGTGTCCCCAGAGCCAAAAAGTTAGGACGCGACCATGGAAAATTGAAGGACAGACAGACAGAGGCTGCCGTGTCCTCAGACAACGCGTTCCATTGACCAGAGCGCCACCAGTCTATACGTCCTGTTCCGTTATCTTGAAAGTTAAGGCAGTGCCGGAGTTTTTTTCTTGCAATTTTTCTCATTAATAAAATTACATCACTTGAAACTAACAACTCATTAGTAAATATGCTAACACCCAAACTACCTTTACTGATAGATAACACTTTTATTTAAACAAAAAAATTTAAAAACAAATTTCAATGTTCATTGGTTCGTATATTATTAAATTGCATCAAACTGGATTGGGAATATATTTAACATTGAATCAGTGTATATTTACCATCAACACTTTAACAATGTTAAAATAAAATGTTAGTTGTAACATGTCATTTTATCGCTGATTGCTTATCATACACCATAAATTTTGTCTTGATTCAATCATAAAAAAAAAAAAATGGAATATAAAGGTATTGGAATATAATTCAAACTTGGACGCGACCCTATACCTATGTACCTTTAAAGAGGACTATCGATTTCATAATTCATTTGCAATTTGCATAGCCATTAATTAAATTAATGCCTTGATTGATGTCCTTTTATGCATAAGAGACATTACTAATAAGAAAACGAAATTTACCTTTTGATTTGCATATAAGGCTTCAGAAAGATCAGATTGGAAAGAATACAAATACAAATATGTACAATGTAAATACATACAAAATACAAGATTTTGCCCCTTCTAAACTGAGCTAATATATGGTTTAGAAATACTGTATACAAGGTCTTGGAGTGTCCATATTTTTGTATTTGCATTCTTCCCACAATACATATTTGCATGGTTTTCAAAACCAGATTGGATCAGAAAAACCGGGAACCGATCACCTGACCAGTTCTGTTTTCCCCCAAAACCATTGATTTTGGTCAGCAAACCACTGAACCGGGCAATTAACCATTTGAACGGTTTTGACCCTTTTTTTTTAATTTTGTTTATTTTTTTGTCGGAATGGGCCAAGCGTTTGGTTCGAACAGTCAGACTGTTCGACCCAGTAACCGGACCCCTGACTAGTTCGGTTTTAAAAACCATGCATATTTGTATTTGCATTCTTTCTAAAATGACTCTAAATCTTTGAATCTTTCGGGCCCTAGGTGTGTCCAATCCAAACCCAATTATTCAAAATCTCTTTGGCAATAAACATATTAATAAGGGGTATAGATAAAAATATGTATGTGTAACATATCATTCATTCATCACACTTTATGACATTAATCTTCTTTTTAGAGGAGACCCGCACCGGTGGCCTCTTTAATGACCACCAGTTAACTGAACTGATTTACCTGAGTCTGCGAAACCAATCGTTTTGTTCCAAGCCAGTCACAAGGTGCATATAGCCCACAACCACTCAGTCTCTCAATTGCATTTATGGCTGGTAGGGAAGATTGGTCCCACAGCCCATAAAACAGCTATCAAGTTCAGCTAGTTCAGCTAATCAGATCTTCAATTAACTAGTACATCTTGATATCACTTAAAACATATAGGTATCGGAAAGTTGTAGTAAATCATGCTTATGTAAAATAAATTTCAGAATTAAAGAGAAGAGAAGATGGGGACGCCTGGAAGGGTAGCCCCGGCGTCAGCAATGAATATGTTGCCCGTAACGTAATATGAGGAATCATGGATCAAATACCGGATAAGTGATGTAAGTGCTGGGTCTGTTGTGCCGAATGTTCTCAGAGGAACAGTTTTTCTGGCCACTTCGTTGATCCACTCTTTCTGCAGAAGTCCCTGAGTAATCTCAGATTTAAACAATCCAGGTGCTATTGCGTTCACCCTGATATTGTGCTGTCCCAACTCTAAAGCCATGACCTGAATTTGACAAGCAGACCATATTTTCGCTTTCATTTCTGGATTTCAACAAATACACAACCAACTTTCAAACATGCGTGATGACAGATGAAAATGATAACAAGAGACGACATTATGGAAACACCAAACAGCTCATGCCAATTCACTATTGCATCATAGGTCTATAAACACCCCTTAATTTTCAAGGTGGAAAAGTCGGTGTCAAACCCCACCACACCTCAAACCAACATACATATACATATACATGTGGGCCACCTACATTGGGTTAGACTCAAGGACCCAATAGAATCAATCGTCCATAATGTTCCAACTAATATGGGGTCAGCAAAACGTGATTCCTGTTTTGCTGTTCCGTTCTATTTAATGCCATGTCCATCGTTAAATTATGGGCACTTTAGTCATTTCCAACTACTTCAACAAGTCCTTTTTGGTCTACCCCTAGCCCTTCTGATGATATGCAGGATTCTTATAGAGCATTAATAAGTTCTTTTCTCCCAAAAACTACTTTAAATACTTCCAGCACAGCAGAAATTGTAAACGTATCAATATGCCCATATTTATCATACAGCTCAATGAACTTAATCGCTTCAGCAAAAATTAAAGATGCCAAAAAATAAGAGCAACATTATGCTGATTCATTTCTAGTAAATGCAATCCTAATATTGAAAACTTGTGTTGTTCTATAGTCAATTAATTCTTACCTTTGTCAAGGCATTCAGTCCAGCCTTTGAAGCAACATAAGCAACACCTCCAGGTAATTGTCCACGGTTAAGGCCAGCTATAGATGTAACATTAATAATTGATCCTTTCTGATTAGTGTTGCTCATGCATCTACCTATATACTTTGATACTAGCCAAGTTCCTGTTAAATTAGTAGTGACAATATTGTTCCATTCGTCTTCGGGGAAATCCAGCAGAGAAGTCACTGCCCCACCTGATACACACATAGCATGGAAGTTTAATACACATAGAAATTAAGAAATGTGTATCAAATTGGTAATTGGAGAATTAGTATAACCACTAAACAGAGAGAGAGAGTTGCGAGAAAACAATGATCAAACTGCTTGTCACCAACAAACTAGAAAGATGCTATGTCACACCACACCTTTCTCCAGGAGCAACCCCCCCCCAACCCCCAAAAGATATTATAATAATAAAATACAAAAGAAAGAAATTTTATTGGAGAATAACTTGATATACAAGTGAAGACTCCCATCAATACCAAGCACAAACAAAAGGTAAGGGGAAAAAGAGCATCACAATTCACAAAGAAAAGGATCAAAAAGATATTATTCTTATTTTCCATCATGATAAAACGGGCTCAAAAAGATTTTACAGGAAAGGCATCAGATATTTGCGGTAATCTGCATTTAGATGCTAATGGTCCTACAGACTGAAAGTCAATAGATGCAGATAAACCTAACAGATGCAAAAACATAGGTAGGTCTTTGGGAGAGGCAGTACTTTGAACCTGCTAGATGATTTGGTGAAACATGACACACTAGGTCATATTAGGACCGATGATCTGTCTTCGGTGAACTCACATCCTAAAAATCAGGCTAGTTGGTAATTCCTGCCATTGGCTAGAAGAAATTACTTCAAGATGGCCTTGGAGAAGATAGAAAACCTCTAATTCAGTGGGTAGAGAATAGAAAACATATCCATCCAAACTGATTTGGTTAGGTACAAAATCAATGATGGCCATAGAACTATCTGCTTGCATGCATACAAGACAATGAGCGGTTGAGCCAAAATAATGACAATCAATTAACTGATATGAGCTTTTCTCTTTTATTTTACCCATCAAACTTAATAGTATATCAGACACAAGTAAGGTAATAAAAATGCCAGCCCAAGTTACACCCCTAAAAGTGACTGCCTCAGACTCAAACCCATGTTCTCCCATTTGCCAGCTCAAGATTTTACCCATTACACCAAGCAACGACCACTAGAACATAGGAAAAGGAAAACATAAGACTCAACTAAAAGGACAATACACCTAAAGTAACAAACAGAGAGCAATCTATGGGACATTAAATGCCAGAAACTATTATTGTAGGTGTAGAAAAGAATAGAACCAGGAAACCAGTTGGTACTTGGTAGTTTACTGGGTCAGTGCAGCAGAAATGCTAAAAGTTGGTACTTGGCTGTGAAATGCTAAAAGTAAATCCATGAAAAGCCACTTATATTGTTTCTGTGTATTGAACCTGAGTTCCTCAGACAGGTTATCTAAGTAAGAACTCCTGAAGGAATCAAGTAAAATTTGGTATACACAACCATTTCTTTCAGAAGTGGTTTGTAAGGCAATATTTTTTTTCATTGTCATTTGCGAGGCTATATATCAAAGATATCCATGAAAAGCTACCTATCCTGATGGACTTCCTTGAAAAATATGAAAACCTATATTAAGCGAAACGGTTAACTTTCAGAAACCAGGAACCCTATTTAGCATTTCTTTTATTAAAAACTGCAGCCTTATTTAACAAAATTCCCCACCATCTAAAACGTCGACATCATCAGTCTAGAAAAATTTTTAGCATAACATTGCACCATCTTTTGACCATCATCTTAATTAATTTCCCATTCCTAGTCATATCTTAATTATTAGGTTTGCCAACTGATCAGACCATAATCTGGATTTTAGTCCAATTAAGGGAAATCCAAATTTTATAGACTATGACAGATCCTTCAAAGTGCATGTGGACCTTAACTGGTAGATCTTACAATAAACCATTTCAGGCATTCCTACTGTAAAGGTTCTTTCCTGTTTTCATTTAAAAAAGCGACAAAAAACTCAGAATGTGCCTGGAAGCATCTTTCATCTCAAAATGCCCTGGCAATTTAGTAAAGTGGGAAAAAAACTATTGAATTCTCATGTAATTTAAACATACATACAACGTGGGGTTCTGAAAATGGCTTTGATTTAAAAAATGCCCTTTCATGCCCCTGAATTTTTCCAAATATCTCCTCCAATTATATAAGTAGCTGACATGAAGTGATTGAAACTATGTTTTCATCTGAAAGCGATAGAGGGACTGGACTTTTTAGAAATTTCCTATGCCAATAACAGGGTTTGTTTATCCATGTAAGGCTTTTTGTCATGAAATGGCCTTGCACTCAGCACACCCATATCTTGGGTGGTGAGTGCTTGATTTGAAATCACAAGAAGCTAGCATTAATCAAAGCCATGACATGATGAAATGGAAAAATGATAAGTGATGTAGTTTCAGAACTTTTCTCTTATATTCTTAGTTGTTACCAAAACAGTAATTATGTGTGAATAATGCAAGCTTTTAGCTTAGCAACATGAATAACATCATACAAGACAGAGTCTTGATCATTGAACCATCTATTCCACCAACCAACCCCCACCCCCTCCAACCCAAGCCAGCAGCTTTCTTTGCCATTCTCACTTATCAAGAATCATATCATTTGCCCCTCAACCAACCCCTAAAAGTAGTTCTAGTTTGTAAAAGATATTTAAATTTTCACAAAACCAACTCTTCAATCTTTGCCAGGTTCTTGGAATTGAGCTTTGATGAGGACTCAATTGTAACTATGAAGTGATGGATTGAACCTAGGTTACTAAGATAGGATAAGCTAAATAAGCTTCTGAAAAACTTATACGTCTCAATTATACCTTGAACATTTTATGAGCCAAGGCTATTGCAGCGATTCGCAATCCATTTAGCAAATTATGAACCATGCTTCCTCCATAATAGTTCCAAAAAAGAAAATGGCATGATTCAATTATACCAATAAATATAGGTTTAGCTTTACCAAGGAGGAGAGACAGGGCACCCAGTCAATTCAAAAAAAAAAAAAAA